AAACAGGCGAGACCACATCACAGTAATCTCGTGAAGGGGGTTCTTTAACGTCCCCGTGCCTAAACAAATTAACTAATCAATAGATGCAGGAGACGGGACCTACGGTTTATTCGTCCTTATCCGAGAAGACTAGAACGTCTATCCATTTCTTGATATTATATAAAGGTAGCGCATTCTCCTCAGTTATTTTAAGACCTTTAGGGTTGGTCTGCAACCTTTTGAACACATACATACCCTGTTACTTTGCAACGTTTCTCAGCCCCGGCAGCGATCCTTATTTAATATCAAACTTCTATACTGAACCATATGTTTTGTTCCGCTGGTTAGACCTCACATTATCCTTAAATTTCGCCCATATTTGCGGGCAACGCTTTAAACTTCTGTTTCACGTACCAACATAGAGCAAACTTCTGGTGGGTTATTCGGGTGATTGACTGCTCGTCTTTACTTAAAAACCTGCTTCTTTCCATTTGGCGAATGTCGTTTTCGATAAGAGTACAGACCATGCTAAACCACTGTCGATTTGTTTTTTACCACAACATCGACGTCAAATAAAACGATTCTTTCAGTGCGTGACTAAGATCATGTTGACGCAAGCAGCGTTTTCTGTGCTCTTAGCGAAAACGCAAGCTGGCCTATCATACTTCTACATATTGGTATTGCACTGCTTTCCAAACATAACATAACGCCCTCACCAACCCCTAAACGCCCCGTTATTTCCATTAATTCTTTTTTCGTTTCGGAACTGGTCATTGAGCTATTTCAAGGGTTCCGAAATCTACGGGAATAAATGCAAATGAAAAACGAGGTCAAATGCTTCTGATGATCAGTGATTCATTGTATTCTCATTCAAAAGGAATTCATTTTCACAAGAAAGGGGTTTGGCTCTTGTTCTAATTTCTGAAATATGATTTTCGGAACTCATAAATGACACTCCTGTTGTCTCCCTTTAAGTCCTCTTTCATTTTGTTTCAAATTTTGAACATCTGCAATTAGTAAAACAAAATATCGGATATTTCCAAATCCCCTAGAGTTTTTGCAAATTAATGGTGAGGAAGATTATTAAAAATCATTTAAGCTTGTAATCTTAGGCTCCCTGGTCAGTAGACGAAAGAAGTCCGCGTGCCGTGTGTTGTAGCCCTGGATTTGGTGGTTTCTCATGAACATATTTTCATTTAGACTTCGCCAAGAACTTCACAATTTTTGGTTTTCATTGAAGGAAACTGAAGTTAAATCGTTGAAGTACATGTATGATAATTTGTTCATTTGACTGACTCCCCATGAAAATGCCTTTGATCCGCTAATTGAGTTCTAGAAAATGAGAAAGTTTTCATGCCCCACCGCTGGAATTTTCTACTCTCTCATTAATTTTAAGTGAGCTGTAAATTATGTTTATTTGAACGTTTAATTTACTTTTCCTAGTTTTGAAAGTTTAATTAATCCTTTTTACAGTCATTTAAAGCTCAATAATCAACTCGATTTAAGCACGAATATTTTTAAACAGATCGTTATTGAAAAATTCCTATGAATATCCAGATTACCAGAAACGCCTATACTAACAGAATATTCGAATATTCCTAATTCTTAGTTGATTGTTGTCAAGACAATCAGTAATTTAGGTTGCTATTAAATTTTAATAATGACAAGGTATTCGGTGGTGTGAGGTGGTCTAGTCAAATAATGCATTGCTATGATTTCAAAAAACGTCACTCATATTTGCCAAACTATGAAATCTTGATAAGAGGACAAAGGTCTTTCAGTAACCTAGTAATCCAATTTATTAGTCCTATAAGCTAACTGTAAACGTTTGATGCAAGCTGGAAAATACACAGGAATTCAGTAACGTCTACGTGCTATAATTAAACTGTTTTGTTTGATTCTCCTGAAAAAATTAATTCTTGTTTAATTAGCATGTCGGGCTTTCACGAAGAGCAGAAAAATTAACAAATTGCACGGAATCGATTCATTTGGTCGCCTACGAAATATTAAGAATCTCGCCAAAAAGTTCAGTTAAGAGCCACTTTATAATTTCTTATCTCTTGCTAAAAGTTGCAACACTATAGATTTTAGTTCCTCTGCTTCAATTGTAGTGTCTTCTCGCTGACTAGAGGATCATTTGTACTTGAATGTCTGTAAAGGTTAACTGGGTAAACGCTTCAGAAGCACTGCCAAGTAGAACCTTCTACAGTTGATAATTGGCTGAAATTAGATATCTGTGGATCATGAGCGAGAGTCATTTTAAGACACAATTGCGCAACCTAGGCATAACAGATCATAGCCCTAGGCAAGCGGCGTCACTTGAACAAATAAAAATTTGATTTCACTAAACGTAACCTTTTTTGTAGTCTGAAAAAACTGCCTACTTCACCAAATTACACACAGTTTGGGTTTTTTTCTTTTTTTTGTTTCATTAGGCAAGCAAAAACTCTGCAATAGTGATTTTTCAATCTGGTTTTATACCAAAGTTGACGTTTCTTTATGTTCCTGCGAACAATTTTGTCGATGACTGAGGAGTTAGAGGAGTGACAAACTTTCCATCGTCGCAAAGGCTTAGGTATTCCAGTTCTAAAACTGGTGCACTAGTGCGGGAAAGGACGCTTCACGACCTGTAAAAAAAAAAGACTCTAATTCAGATCACTAAAAATCAGAGACAAATTGTGATTGAGTGAAAGAACGATCATAACTTATCTTTGCGGAACCAACGCAAGTATACTCCCACGGGGAGTGGAGTTGTCTCTCTTTACTGGCATTCATGGTCCTTCATGGATAGCGTCTTAACGAAACGAAGGCAATGCAGTGAAAGAAAATCACCTAGCAGGTATAAAACATTAGAGATATATCTGATAGCTTAAGGTTAAGAACCCGGGAAAGTAGCTTCATTGGATGTAAATTCTATGACAGATTTTCGTGGGCTCTGATTTCTTTTGTAGAAGAATATTTTCTTTTGTTTCTTACGTCCTAACATTATCAAATGTAATTGATGATGTCGGGTGAGTGTTGACACTCGGGAACGACGTATAAATTTCTTTCAAAGTCTGAACCAATGCAATCTTAAGTGCAGGTTAATAGAAGTTATCGAATTAGATTTTTATTTCGGTTGAATGGCGGCATTCCAGTCGATTACAATCGGCTACGTTAGAAAAAATGGTAAATCTAAATGTCTAATCTGCAAAGGGCAATACAGCCCATCTTCAGCAGATATATGGTAATCTTCTTCGAACAAAGACAACAATTTTCATCGTGAAACCACAGCAGAAAACGGCCTCTTTCAGAAGTTTCTCTTGTTTTAATAAGTGTCAAATCTAAGTTTTCATGCTATAAGCGAGCTGTGATGAAACAATACTCACTTAGTGAAGGAATTTCAAGAGAATGATGTTTCGTGTGGCAGAATCAACAGTTTGACGTTGTTTGTCCAATTATTTATGGCAGAATCCCACACAGTTCAATACAAGGAGTGTGCCTGACAACATAAAAACCCAAAATCCTTTTATGGGACGTGACCCGTGAAACCATTAAAATCCTGCGGCATAGACTTCATGAACCGCCTAGCCAATCAGCGTGTTCTGTTCCCACGACCCTGTTGAGTAGACACTAAAGAGGGCCTTGACGCAGCACTGGAGTCTCCATACACAATATTGTTGCTGAGTTATTACACGCACGCGACTTCCACTACTCAAGCGTGCTCGTCTTCAGAATAGCCAATCAGCGAGCAGCGCTCTCACGACCTTCACTCGCCCCGACATATTTTAAATGCGGATTCAATTGAGGACAGTGCTTGTTTTTAAACAAGATAGCGGGATTTAATTGGACGATTCAGCGCGCTTCTTAACCCTGTAAAGAATTGTGGATATTTTTCCCACGCTCATTACAATGGATCAGTTATCATAAACAAAGGTTGAGACAAAGGCTCGCATAGTTGTGAATCCCGTGATAAACCCGCTGAAAATATTTCCGCACCTAGCAGTCCATCCCTACCTGTCATCACTCCACACACATACCAAGCTCATTCAATCCCAGAGCAAAAATGACCGACGAAACAAACTCCAGAGAGCGCAGAAAAGTAAGTTTCAGTTACCTTTTTCTAGAAAAAGATATTTTTGCTTGTAGTCTTGTTTTTATTTGGAGCTCGTAATAAATGCGAAACGCTTTCCACAATTCCGTGTTCAGGCGTCGAAACCCATCATGGAGAAAAGGAGACGAGCCAGAATAAATGAAAGTTTGAACGAATTGAAAAGTTTAATCCTAGAAGCCATGAAAAAAGATGTGAGTATACATGCAACTCTGCTTAGCTTAAATCACAAATGTACATTCCTTTACCTTTCATCTAACTAGTTAAAATTCATCCCATGCTTCATTAATTACTGTTTTATCAGCAAGAACTACAAAAAGTTCTAAACTTGACAACTTCTTGTTTTTTTGGAAATTTCGCGCTGTTGACTAGAGCTAAAGTCTTTTACACACGACCCTTACATTTTGCTTATTTGAACTCATTGTTGTACATGAGTGCAATGCCATGGAACAATGAATGCTCTATACTCCAACAGAGAAAAAAAAATCTAGAAACAACTGACGCTTGCATTCTTACTTGCACATTCCTTAACGATCAAATCACGATTTTTGATGGAAATCGAAATACTTAGATGCTCGTTTCTGGTTTCCTTTGTTGTAGGGAATAATAAAATCTCAGCAATTGCTCGCGAGTTATGTAATGTTAGGTAGTTTCAAGGGTATTGTGTAAGAAGTGATGGAAGACTGAGTTAATTTCAAGCCTGGGCAAATCTCTTTTAAAGGAAATTATATCATATACGAGTAAAGATGTTTTTAAAAAACGATTCGAAACGCTCAAATCGTTGAAAAAAACTAGTATACTTATATCATAACTACCATAAGCAAGAGTTGAGAAACTTAACTCGTTGGGCTCTGCTAGTTGGTTTTTTAAATCTAATTTCAATACATTTAACGACCAAAATTAACAATTATCACAGCAAACTCGCATTCTTAAACTCTGGATTGTTTTGTTTTATTTTCTTAGAATTCCTGTTACTCCAAGTTAGAAAAAGCTGATATTCTGGAAATGACGGTTCAACATTTGAAAAATCTAAAAAGTCAACAAAACACAGGTAGACCAAATTCTTCATTCCCTGAAATATTTGCAATTGAATTAGACTTCGTAATCTTGCTGAAGGGTTTCGAGGCACTTCGCTAGCGCTGTTGTGATGTCATGTACCAATAAGAAACTTATGCTTCGGTTTGACGTTGAGTTTTTGGGGCCAATAAATGGGGACTTAAATCGGGGCTAAGGGCCCTTACGAGGAGACAAAACCCTTTCAAAAACTGGTAGTATAAAGTGCCCTCGAGATCTGAGGTTTTAACAGTTTAGAAGCTCTTAAAGATACTCCTTTGAAAATTTGACTCTTGATGAACTCTTACTATTTCAGAAACTCAAAGAAACTAACGGCTTACCCTTAAAAAAACAACAAACAAACAAAAAAAAAAAACAAATTAAGAATGGAACTTGATGGTTCTCGATGACTGTGATGGGTGCAGCAAGTAAAAGTTAAGGGAAATGAGAGGGAGGGCTCTGGTCCAGGCCCCAACCTCATTCCCAGGGCCTTTTCCCTTAGTTAGGGAAAAGGACATGGGCACGAGGTTGGGTATGTCAACTCCATAAAAATTATCCATAGCTAGGCTCTCCACCGGAAGTTTGTTTTTCGAGCCGTCCGCGTGAAGATTAATCTCGTTAAGATCATCTGGGTGAAAGCAATTCCACGATGAAAGACGCCATGAAATAGTTGCGACAAATTATGACTTAAGTAAACCTTCCACCTCTGCCTATTTGCCTCTCAACATGTAAGCCCACCTTAAAAATCCTTAGGGCATTCTATAAATCTAAGCCTTAAAATCAGGGTTCTGAACTATTTTTTACAACTCTCTCGACAGGTAATTCATCTTCGAATCCAGCCTCCCTCGCCAATTATCGCGCGGGATTTAATCAATGCGCATCGGAAATCACTCGTGTACTGACAGGCCTGGGAAACACCGACTCTGCACTCAGGAGCAGGCTGTTAGAACATCTCGCGTCCCGCTGCTTAGTTACCAAGCCCGTAGAAGCTGCTGACTTAAGGGCACCACAATCACCTCCGATTTCCTTTCCAAACCAACCAATTCTACCCAAGCCGCCTCTTCCCACCATGGCTTCTCCAGCAAATTTCTCTTTCCTTCCTCAAAGCAGTCCGAGTTTTCTTCCTGCAGCTCAGTATCACTTAGCCTCCTACCCTTTAACAAATGGTAAAGTGGCAGTTTTGTTACCAACAGTCAATCCCTTTTTGGTAGACTCGAGCACCGCGGCTGCTGCTTCGCAACCTAGCCTTATTCCCGTATTTAGTAAAGAACCAAAGCACGGTATGTCTCCACCTGAAATGATGCCTTTAGGCTTAGACACCAGGCCTGTCTTTTGGAAATCGGTTCCTTGACTAAGGAAACTCGCAAAGTTAGTCTCGTTTACGAGAAGAGTGTTTTGTTTTTATTAGTTACATATTGTGATTCTTAATGGATTATATCTGATGGTTTGATCAAGGTGTGTGTGTGTGTGTGTGTGTGTGTGTGTGTGTGTTTTTAGTATCAATACTGAATACATGGCAGTGACATTTGTAATTCAGCTATTTAGTTGCAAATTCACTTAATTTACTTGTGGAAGAAATGGGAGATGCTATAGTTTAGAGACTGAAGACATGGTTTTAGAGATTTTGTCACGAAATAGCTCTGTTATGACAATCAAGTCAAATTCTTACAATAATTTTAGTGTCGAATTCCAAACCTGACAGAAAAACACCGTGTGCATGGCTTACGAGATTATTTAATATTTCAAGTGACACTTAAGAAAAGAAAACTATATTTATATTCTATTTAACAAACCATTCAATGGTTTATTTACAAGTATTTTTGTTGCGTTATTTTCTGGGTGGATTGTCATCAATTACAATGTGATTTTCTCTTTAAGTCCTTACTATGTAAGATATCAACTGATCAGATGCGGTCGAAGGGACAAATTTCTCTTCGATGGAAGAGAATCGCTTAGCTCTTTATACTAAATGAATTACTGATTAAAACGACAACTTATATTAAGATGAATAAATTCAACAGTTTTATGGTACATGACATGCGCAAAGAAAACTGGCGGGAAAGAATCGAACATCAGAATATATAGTCAATACCTTGTGCCACCAGCCTTCATTTCGTATCAATCGACGGCACGATCGGGGTCTTGGGACACGTGCTATGGCATTTCTTTGCGATAGGAAAAGCATGACAGGGGAACAAACATACAGAAGCCGTCTTCTTGCTAGCAGATGATGCACTGCCATCTGCATTATAAGTTGCCGTTTCCTGTGAGCGCGAATGGTGCTTGAGAGGCATAAACGCCGAAAACACAAAATATCCTTATTTTTGTCAGCCATATTGGCGGGGGACTTAGAGCGGAGTCTGGGAATTAAGCTGTCACTCGCACTCGGCATTTAAATTCGGCACAATTAAATGCGACGTTTAAATCAAATGCCGAACTTTTTAATTCATGTCGACTTAAATTAGTATTAGATTCGGTGCATGTAAAATGCGACGTTTAAACCGGGCCTAAGGGTCTGCTATCTAAACTAACTTAAGCAAGCGTTGACGCTGTAAAAATGCAAGTCCTGACAGATTGAATTGACAGAAGATGATTTTTTTTTTTTTCAGAAAACAGCAAAATAAGAACTATTAAAAGTAACGACATGCATAAAATGCTCGATCGTACATGACAGCGCCTGAATCCAGCAAAACTGTTTCTCATCTCTGCTTTCTCTGACTGGGTGAACAGAAATACCACAGTTTTTTTTTTCTTTTTAAACAGCCTTTGTGGGCATGCATAGATAATCCATTGCTGAATTTTAGGTATTCACAAGAGACTTTGAGACCCTCATAGTCTCTTGGTATTCATCAATCAAAGGATTTCTTTAGTACCGTCCTATCTCAATGCATACGAAAGGTATTGTAAACCGCCCAATTTGTTCTGATTTGGGGTTTTTTGTCATGCCACAAGTTAAGTATCAGGAGATATGGCAAATACTTTTTTGACTTTCCCCAAAGTCGGTTTTGTAATATTTTTCGTTTACAGGCTTGTTTTTTGTTTTATAAACTTCACCTGTATGCGGTCCTGATGATTGCCTCTATGCGATGACTCGGGGCTGTAGAATGTTGAGAATGTGCGAATGTCTAAGTTTAAACAAAATAGTTTTCGACAATTAGATGGCAAATGAACCAGTTGGCAGGTTTTTTACTGCTTTCAAGATACAAAACTGTCAATCAACACATGTTATTAATTCTTCATACAAGTCTCTTTTTAAGGTGATTCGTACAAAGTTTAATGGCAAGGGTTTATTCAATTGAAAACAAAACAAAAAAAAACAACAAAAAAAAAGAGAAAGAAAAAGAAAAGAAGGAAAACTAAGACTGTCGGAAACGAACTTTATTTCATCTTGAAAAGTCCTCGCAGATTTAACTCATTGAATATAAGATTTTAAAAAAAAGGGTTTCCACCTTTTTTGAGTAATCCGGCATTGTTCGATCGTCATGGAAATATTCCAGAAGTTAAGTGATCTATTCAATTCCACTTTGACGGTTGCCATTCTCTCACTAACTCAAGCTGACCATTTTAAAAGCTTCGCACATATTCGCACCCTTGAATTTGTTTCTCGTAGGTTATCCTTTGTTTTCTGCCTGAGTTTTCAACAATTTTCGCCTTCGAAACAGAGATCGTATTGTACACTTTACAGAGTGTTGTTTAAATTCTTCGCGTTTGTGTTTAGACTTGTTTTTAAGCAACAATTGTTCCGGATATTCATGAATAAACATTCGCATCAGGACTGATCGTGGGAAAATTTCAGAGCCTTTTGTTTTACTCGCGGTCGGGTCACCATATAAGTGAACCCCATCGAGTTTGAACCATGCCACAACAATGCTTGGGCACGTGCGAAAATAAACACTTATTGTGGCAGTGAAACGTTTTATCTAAACATATTTATTAGCATTGTCATGCGCGAGCTCCTTTTGGTGGGCCAACCAATGATCTTCAACTGTTCCCACGGACATGGTTTAGAAATTACAATGGGTTTGTCTGTTTTTGCTTAATGAAGTTTTAATAAAAATCATTGTTTGCGCACGGATAACTGCAAAGCCACAACATAATTTGCTTTTAAACAACAGCACAGACATACTTTCCTTACGCATTTAGAAACGCCTCACCAATCAAAGCCAGGCGTTCTCACGCTCTGTTAGCAAAAGTTTATTTACAGCGAATGGTACAAGCGATCTCATTGGCTCATAGGTAGAACTTTTGAATAGGCAAAATGTCCCCGAAAATTTTCCCACGCTCGGAGAAATCGCTGGCATAAAAACGGATTTGGAGCGGAGTGTGGCTGTTTTTACGTTTACGGCGCGGGTATATGTAAGATTGAGCGTGGAATTGTGTGAGGGAAAGGTTTATGTTTTGGAAAAATGGGTCTTGAAAGTCCAACAAGGAACCTCTCGAACACGGACGGACGGAAGGTACTGAGAGTTTGTAAAATTTTAAGCTTTCAAAAAAATAAAAATTGAATGCATTGAACTATGAACTACGATGAGCGCAGGTCATAACTGATTTACTAACGAAGTAAATTTTAAATTTTATTTCAGTCTTCCAAGCCTTTGATGGAAAAAAGGAGAAGAGCAAGGATTAATCAAAGCCTCAATGAATTAAAAAACCTCATTCTGGAAGCTATGAAAAAAGATGTAAGCCAAACTATTGTTTTAACAGCGGTTAACGATTTTCTTTTCCCGTAAAATCTTTTGACAAGAATCGACGGGTTTCGTTTAATTATCAGAGATCTTTGATTAAAAGTAAAACAAAAGGGTGTATATATTTCCAGGGTGTAAATTTGTTGCTAAATTTTATTTATGTGTAATGCAAATGACCTTAGTTTTTGAATTGTTTATTACATGTGTTTAATGCCTGACGAGTTAATCTTTTCGAGACAAGACATTACCGGCTTTTCTTTCTTTCAGACTTCTTGCTATTCCAAATTGGAGAAAGCTGACATTTTAGAGATGACTGTGCGTTATTTGCGATCAATGAGGACTCAAAGTGTGGCAAGTAAGTCCGAGACAAGTTATTTTTCTCTTTTTAATCGGCAAATACCAGTAGTGAAACACAGCGTGATGGGTACTGTCTGTACAATACAAGTCAGGAATTAAATGCTTATATATTTCCAACTGCATGAATCTCGAAGTATCTTGTCTTTAATTTTGGGCATTTATCTATGAAGGATCCAAGAAGATGTTCATTAATCCTTACTTTTTCACTTTGTTTTTATTTCCGCAGCTCGTATAAACAGCACAAGCGATCCTAATACCATGGCGCGTTTCCGCGCGGGATACAACGAGTGCGCGAATGAAGTGAGCCGATATCTAATGTCACTGGATGGATTGGATGTTCAAGTCCGCGCGCGTTTACTCTCACATCTCGCGTCATATTGTTCACCTTGTCCTCCGATCATGAAACCAACGACAACGACATCAGAAAATCTTCCGTTACAGCAATCACAAGCTGTCACGTTGCCAGTGACCTCCCCTTTAGAGCTATCGCGCTTTACATCAAATCAATCAAAAAGTTTAGAGACAACTCCGAGTTTACTAAACACGACTCAATTTCAAATCGTTCCGGGGCAGCTGGCCAACGGAAAAATCGCTGCGGTTCTAGTACCGAGCCAAAACACTCCCTTGGCGATGGTTTCTGCCCCTCATCTAATCCCTGTGTTTAATAAACCAACGGTAGATTTTCATGCGCTTCAAGGACTACATATTCCCGATACTCAGGCTTTGAGACCGGAGAATGACCCGCTTTGGAGACCTTGGTAACTAATCAGAAAGAAAGATTTAAAGAGGTTCCCTCCCATGCCTGAAACAAAACTTCTTTACAAAGCTATAAAATAATACCGAGGCCCATTGCTGTACTCCAAAGGACAGCTAATAATCTGTAAATATCGCTCAAGTGATCTCGTATTGTTCCTTTGTCTTTAGCACAATGAGTCTCAAAGCGTCATTAAATTTTGTGCCTTTTCAAATGATCTTGCGAGGGTCTCTTTACCATTCTTTCACGGTTGTTTGCCGTAAATTCCTAAGTACATTAAGATTGCCTTGTTACTATAACTTACGTTCTCACGAGAATCAGGAGCCCATTGTGACAATTCAATTTTCCAATGGACTTGTTCAAATACAAAACTGATCGTGCCAGACTGTAGAAAAGTTAACAAACCTCCAGGAATTTTAAACGTTCGTTTAAGCCGAAAACAATGAAACAATATACAGCATGATTAAACAGCATGAGATTAAATCGTACAGACGATCACATGCATGATTTCGTGTGCAATGTGGGATGAAAAAGAGCAAGTAAATTTCCTCTGTGAAAAAAAAAAGTATGTGGTCTTCGAAAAAATTTTATATCATTGCAAATTGCGGGGGTTGCACCACAGTTAATGGTTTGAACTCAGTGTGATCGCCCGGGTGAGTGTGGTCCTGGGGAAGACTTTTGTCGGCAGTGGTGATTGACGTTTCGACAAACTGAGCGGAAGTCATCATCAGAGTCAAGTGAATTCGTGTAATCTCGATGATCAGTTTAACCGGAATGTTATGGGCTGTAAGACTGCACTAAAAACAACTTCTGCGCTCAACTATTGACATTTATTTTCAGGTGTCTGCACCCTATTTGTATTTGACTCGTTCTTAGCCAAAGATTAGGCGGAAATTTTTGTATAAATATCTTTATCGTAGGCAGTGGTCATGTAAGCTGTCTTGCTTAGGTGTTCAAGCCGGTAATCAATGCAAAACGAGAGAATAGAGACGGGACTGGGAAAATTGGTTCGTTATATCGAGGGTTCAATACATCGGGGTTCTGTGGCATACATTTTTACTGTAACTTTAGCCGGGCTGAAACTGAAGTATCATTCGTTACTGACGGAGGACCTAGTTATATAGAGGTTCATTAAACCGAGGTTCCACTGTAATTGTGTTTTCGTTCACTTCTAATAATTTTGGCCCCTTCTCCATGTAAGTAGTGATTAAAATAGAAAATGAAGGCTTTTTGACTGAAATATTTACGGAATTAGTGCGTCACTTACTGGCTTTCATCTGTTTTAATTTCTGGCGTTTAGAGCGGATAGACGACAACTCATGCAAACTTGTGCGTTCAAAAATGATTTCCAAGTAGTTTGGGCAGTTTAGAGCAAAACGAATATGATGTTTTCGGTTAAAATTATTTTGATTCGTTATGTGTATGGGTTAAAACGGACATATTTGAAAACTTATTAGCGTGGTAGGGGCCCGATGCAATCACCAGAGTGACGTCATGGAAGAGTGTCCAGCATACTTAAGGTGGCCGAACACAGTTTTTACGCGCGCTTTTGCTGATGCAGTTCAGCGCGCGCACAAGGATTGCAAAAAAACAAACATGCCGTTAATAGAGCGATCATTTTATTTACTCAACTCATATCCGCACTTTCTGTGCTATTTTTCTCTATAGTTGGCGCAGTGTATTGACGGCTTTAATCTTTTATTACAAAGACGTGTTAGAAAAGTTAATGGTGCAAAGATCCCAGCATATTCTCAGCTTTTTCGTCGTTACCCAGAGAAAGAACGAACCCAGTTAAATGCAGTGCATGCGAGGTAAGTAAAAAGATTGCGCTTGAATGGAAAATTGCTTTCTCGGAAATATGCATATTTCTTGAGAACCCCTCGTTCGAATTTCACGAAATTTGGCACGCAAATACTTTAGGAAATAACAAAGACGTGATATCTAACAAAAAATTGATTTTTAAAAAAGGAAATTCCAGATAAACGAGTGAACCTTCAACAAGGGATAATTAAAGATATCTCTGTTAAATTGTTAGCACAATGGTGTTAACTTGTGAGTATCGTAACAAGCTCGTTGCATGCAAGTTCTAAAGAAAATCTAATTACTAGATTTTCTACAAATAAACAAAACCGATTTTTAAGGCCTGTTGTATTTATTCATGTCGCCATGGCAACGGCACATACGTCAGCTGAACTATAAAAAGAAAACAAAGTTTGTGTTGTTAACTTGCTTGCTGCTAGTTTTGGGGACCGAGAGATTTTAGGGTTTTAGAGAAAATGGTGAAAAAAACACAGGTATCAAAAACTGTGTTCAGCCACCTTAACTCTATTGCCTGATACTCAGATATAAAGCGCGCGTTTCTGCGCGTAGGGAAACCCGGAAAACGCGCGTACACCGGTCTCCTCGTGGGATGTCTCCCTCATAGACTGTGCACGGTGCAATGTCACGTGTTTTCTTTTAAACTTATCATGAATTTATCCTTTTTCTTACTCAGATATAACGCATTCAGTTTTATCGCAGGTGAAAGCTAATGCTTCTACATGATTGGAGGATTTTTGTGGGTAAACGAGTCGCGGTGAAGTTCATTTCTCTTCTCCAGTGTCTTTCGTTTTTTCTCATAACCTAAGAAAGGAGGCTCTGGAAACGAGAATGAATTAGACTTCCTTCTCTTTCTCAGTGCACTTGCGTTTGTATTTAAATGTGAGACAGTATCGTTTCCAGAATCCTTGTACCTACTACTCTGAAGAGGTATAACGGCCTGACCCCTGTGCGAGTAATTGTTGTCATTACATCTACTCTCGCCGCTAATAACCTAAATTTTTGATAACAGAATAACAGAAATACCTGTTACGTATACGAGAAAATGGCCTTGAAAAAAAAAAGGCTGTGCAATAGGTCGAACAAACCAGTACACGCCTAAAGTTATCGTGGTCGTTTCGGAAATTTGCATCGAGACTTTTGATCAATCAGTAATTAAAAGATAACAAGTTTCTTCATCAAGTGCAGAGACACGAGATGGAAACATTAACCATCTTTCTTCTGATGCAGCCATTAGTAACGGGCGGCTATTCACTTAAGTTTATGCCTGTTTCATTGGCTTGCTTCAGTGGTTCTTCTTTCCAGTTTAAAGAAAGCGTTGACCACCGAAGAGCCGTATTTCAAAAGCATTGCCTTTTTGCAACCGAAACACTGGAGTATATTTGATGTAGATCAGCTTTCTTTTTTTTCTCGTAGTCCACTGTCACACACACAGGATATGTATTTACACAGACTATTCACTTATCAAGTACTCAGAGGGACTACTGTTATACCACTATGTTGCCTCCCCGGGTTTTTGGCCAAGCAGGTACAATCAGTGGACGGGGCGAGTAGGGTTGAAGGACAAATTCTTCTCATCGCACCCTACTCCTCTGCACCAATAGCTCCACATACACTTTGCACAGACTAACGATTTCGCACAGGCCGCCATCGAAGGAGTTCTCTTTTACTTCCTGTTGCCACCGTACCTTCTTTATCACCTTCTTCCCCCATCAAATTGCCTTCCATATAAAAGCTTACTAAAATATCTCTGCAGAGAGCTCTACCTCTCCGAATTGTCAATTGACATGAATTTTTGTTTTTATTACAGACAAAACTCCATCTCTAGTCTAATTTCTTTATATCAAATGACACAATCTTCCGAGATATTCAACAAAAGCATGACAAGACACCAATAATTATCTAACTTTTATTATAAATAGATTAGAAATAAATTTAAAATAACTTCAAATGTTTCTTTTATAACTATAAATGCAATCCAAATTAAATTAATACAAGTAGCAAGTTTCAAGTCAATAATTGTTAAGTTCAATGATAGGAAATACCAGACGTTTAAAAATGAGTCAGTGTCAAGCATCAACATTGCTCAAACTTTCAAGGCAAATGAACATTATTAGGACAAGTATGTCTAACTCCACAGGATAACACACTTCAACTTTCTGCAAAGTAGTTTGCGTTTCTTTCCCTAACACCAAAAAAGTTGAACCACACTGAAGCCAGTCACTTGCAACAGAAATTATGAGTGTGAGAAGGCAACAAAGAAAAATTGAAAACAAAGAAGATAAGTAAATAAGGAAACAAATACAGCAAAAATCAGGGTAGTGCTTGGAGAAAAAATTCCGTTTAGCTGTGCAATTATTTAGCTTGGTAAACACATTACAAGTGGTCGTCCATTTTCAAGGGATGACTTGAACAAAGACACAAACACACACACTTGGAACTGGGTTATATCCGACTTTCTTGAGAGCCGTTCACCTGTCAAAGAATTCCATTACAACAAAGATAGATCAATTCTGCCCACACTAACCATGTTGCAGCAATATTAATAGAATCCAAACTGTATGTAGTTTTTATCAGTCTAAGTAATTTTCACAGAAATCTACAATACATTGCAAAGTAGAAACTCAGAGGGAATTTCAGAACTAGTCAAGTTTACGACCAAATGAATTTTACCCCAGTTTGGTAATTTCAAAATTACAAAAATTACTGTGGAAGAACAAGCCAAGATACCGTAGCTCTCAAAAATCTTTTCCCAGGAGATACACAATACTTCAGACTTCAAAACAGCATCTGCTGATAACCTCAAAACTAATCAGATATCCTATAACATTCTCAGTTTTAGAGACGGTCATTATAAAATCTTTAGTTTAAGGCTCATCTGCTTAATTCATTAATACTTGAAGGAAAATAACTTTGATAAAATTTACTGGCCTTTTTACCTCTGGGCAAACTAAATACATCTTCATAAATTATACAAACTCAATTATCATATGATGGAAAAAATTAATTTTTCCACCAAAACAGTGACATGTTTCTTCACTTTGTTCATAATATCAATCTAGATTTTAGATTTGTGTTGATGCAAAGTTAACCACATTACTCCCAAAATCTGATAGTTAATTCTCCCCTCTTGCTACTACACATTTCCTTGTAAATTACAAGAATTTAGTGTTATATATCAAGAGAACAACTTCTACCTGATAAGTTTGAGTATTCTCATTGCCTGTTTGCTGGATAATGTATGGACATTCTAGGGAGACATTACATGTTAATCACTCCTGGACATAAACAGTAAATTAGGCAAAACTGTAGAAACTACACACAAATAGGGGCCTCAGATGTACCCATCCATAGTAACAAAAATTATCGATAAAAAGAATTATAACTTTCTTTCTTCCAGCTACACCAAACATAAGCAGCCTTCATTTTGGGATCTACCAGTTTCACAAAACAGGGCTCAACACTAAGTTTTCAACTTACTAGCCAACTGGCTAGTGACGTCTTAGATGTCTTTTAGATGTTAAGACAATTTCAGTCTGTTTACTAGCCAAACTGGCTAGTGGAAATTGAAAACCACTAGCCAAAACTGAATTTCTACTAGTCTGTGACTAGTGGGCTACCGTTTGTGTCCAGCCCTGCAAACACTAAAATTTTAAACCCTAAGTGTGACCAGCATGTAATTTCCCCTTACGGTCGTATCGCCGAAATCAATTATTAAGATCATGAGAATAAAGGAAATAATGGCCAACCTAAGAAGCCTTGATTGTTGAACAAATTTTCCTTTTTCAATACCAATGGAAAGGAAATTTATGCTTACTGATGTCAAGATGTAAAGGATTAAAATAAACGATTTAGGTATGATGTGACAAAATTGATCAATGTTGATGTCTTTTTGAGGCATTTTTTATTTCTGTTGCCTGTCTTCTTATTGTTAGTAAATTTTTGTTTGAACCCACTATTTCTAAGTTTGAAAAAAAATTAACCAAACATAAAAAGTCTTTGAGCTAATTTGGTTATATCAACTGAGTTGAAATTGTAAAATTGACCACTGTAAACAGTTCAAAAGCTGATGTTTTGAGCATTAGCCCTTTGTCATTCGCTCTGAAAAAGGGCTAACGCTTGAAATGTCAGCTTTTTAACTCTTTAAGGTGGCTGATTTACAATTTCTATTTAATAGAAATAACCAAATAACCTTGTTACCCTCACTGACACAGCACCACAGTTTCTTTAGAAACTAACCCTCCTTACTTGTTTGTAAAAAGTCTTCAGTTTAGTTTCAGAAGCTGCACTGTCCCAATCCAGTTTTTGTTATCCGGTGCGACCAGCAACAGTTAAAGCCACATGTTTACTAGATAGTGTAAATTAATTATCAATATGTAATCATATATAACAAAATAATCTTGTTTTATACAACCTTAGAAATATCAATAAAAATACAATATTTGTCATCACTCTAATCAAAATGAAGATGTGAACTAAGTTTTCACTTAAATACATAAATTTCTTACTTCAATGTCATTAACATGATAGACTTCCCTGGATGGACAACAGTAACAAAATAACATTTACTTAATATTTATAAGGATGTTATCAAAAATATTTTAACTTATATCCATCATAAAAGAATCTTTAATTGTTCCAAACCTCTATCCACTCAAAAAAATATAAACTTTTAGAAAATGCAAAAACAAGGTGCACTTAAAGTTCTAGATAAAGCTATCATATTTCAAGGCACATCTTAGATGATCATGGACAGCAAGATTCTTAGCTATCTGGGTTTCTTCATGCTCTACCCTGTTGTTATTCTGAGACAAATTTACCTCCAGCAGTGTGTGTTTTCTCTTTGAATCATGAAAATCTCCATCAACTTGGGAGAATCCATTTTCATGGGCATCTTTTACATCAGTTGGTTCTTCCACATCTTTCAGTTTCCTCTTCATTCCACATCGTAAACTGTCCCCATCAGCAAATAAACTTTCATTGGAAGCAATCTTACCAGGGTTTGAATCCTCGGCCAGAGCCATCTTGTCCTCGTTGCACTTCCTCTTTATGCCAGATGTATTTACATCTTCTGCTGTGGCATACTCATCACCATCAAATTTTCTCTTTGCTCCAGGTTTTGCGTCATCACTCACAACAGCAGAAATCTTCACCTCATCATCAACGTTCCTCTTTGTTCCGCACATCTCTTTGTTGCCTTTTAAAGATTTACCTTTCTGTTCACCACCATTTTTGTCATCTGGGAATTCTGCATTCACATCTGATACAGGGTCACTGCTCCCCCCTGGATTAGCTGAACTCAATGGAGATTTTGTTTCATCTGTAGGGGATTCCCCAGTTTCTACAACTACATTTTTATCATTTGGTTTTGGGAAAGACTCATCAATGGAGCTACCTTGTGCCTCATTGTTGTTTTGATCTGACAATTCAGAGCCATTCGTGGCAGAAGCAGAACCTGAATTTTTATTACTAGCTGAATTTTGGGGTGTTTGACTCTGTCTGTTTTGTGCAGTGTTTTCAGAAGTGGAGGAGCTTGACTTGAATTTGCGCCCTCTCACACTTGGGTTACTTAACTTCTTAAAACGATCTTTATAACTAGAGCTGCCATCTCTATAAACAGCATAAGATGGAGTTCCAGGAGGGGTCGGCAGAAAGCCTGGAGCCCTCCCTACAAGGGAACTGAAATGGTTACTAGTCAATGGACTGTAAGACTTCATTGGAAAGGGGTCAGAATAAGCAGGTTTGAAAAGATACTTGGGTGGATGATGAGGACCCACTGGAGTTGCAAAATTAAAATTCATTTCTTGCACTGGTGGATAATAACTTGGAAAAACATAGGGAATGACTGTCTGAATTGGTTGATATTCTTGTACCCTTTGGGAGCCATAGGGGACACTGTAACCCAAGTTAAAATTACGGCCGTAATCAAAAGGGCTGCTCAAGCCTCCAGAAAGGAGCCGCGAAGGGATTTGATATCTATCATGCATTGATGATGTGAAATGCGAATCCCAGTATGGCAAAATGTAGTCCACGTCGTAGCCACCGTTGTAAGAAGACGAATTCCAATCGTTTGAGTCGCGATTATCTGGGTAATAGCTCGACCAAGGTATTGGAGAGGAATTCCTATTGTCTGGCCGGTTCGGCAGCTGGGGAGGGTCGGGTAATTTCTTATTCCATGAGGTGCAGACTTCCGTCAAAATAAGATTTGAAATTTTGCGATGCGCTCGCATTCCCCAATGAATCCCGTCTTCGGCTTGGGTAAAATTATCCCTGTTTCTCAACTCGGTGAACAAATCCAAAAAGATTTTCTGCTGACTTGAGGTAGCGAACCGTGCGAGATTATTCGCCTTCATGATCTTATCCACTGGGATTGTGAGAAATCCTTTGCGAAGAAAACCTCCCTTGCAGCGCTCAGCTAGAGGTAAGGCAGCGTTCCAAATGAACAATAAACTCAAAGGAAATATTTCGTTTATTCCCTTCAAAAGCTTGTCTAAGTTCTCTTGATACTGCTGTAAATCATTATCGCCGTAATGATGCAAATCCCAAAAGGTTGAATTCATAATAATAATGTCGGGTCCACATGTTTTCAACTCATTCAGAATCGATGTCATGTGTTCACTGTAAGCCCGAGTCACAAAGTAATACTTGAAGGAAACCTCGTTGTCCTTAAATTCTCGCACCTCTCTGTAACTGACCCCATTCACCATTTTTCCTTCAAGCTTTCCACCGCTAAGCAATTTGTCACCGAGAAATGCAAGTTCGCCCTTCGCGCGAAGCTCTCTTTGCATCAGATAACGACTGTCTTTTTGCGTCCAGAGGCAGACAAGATCTTTGTATACAGAACGCTGGATGGAGTCACCAATAACAATAACTTTTCGGTTTTGAAAAACGTCTCGTACATCTTGGTGGAAAAATATGGCCATTTCACTCAAAACGATGTACAAGTAAGTGGATACAGCCTGGACGCCATTACGGTAGATGGAACATCTGAAGGAAACTGAAGTGAAATACTGTACCATTCATTTCGGTTTCACGTGACATAATATGTCATTCCGTCACGTCCATGAGCATTCTTGAAAAGGCTTCCAAAAAAATGTCACGCTGATATGACCGAATTGATAGAGGGCAAAAATCAGGCCAAATGATGACTTAAAAGAAACGAATTAAAAGAGTGTGTGGAAAAAGAAGAAGCATGGGCCTTGTTTATCTCAAAACATCTTACTTCCCAAAAACGCAAACAAAAAACGTGTTGTAATTTCGATGTTTTCAGTTTAACAGGTTGTCACACCTTGAGTAAAAACACTTGAAAAGATTGTCGCATCATGGTCACGTTCTAAACTTGCAAAAATCGAAAGCTCATGGCTGGCTCTAATTTAGACGACATTATTTTCGGCGGTTTTCATGTAATTATAGCGGATACTTCGCTGCGTTACTAGCTTCTAACACTTTTATGCTAAAATTATTTGCCATTCCAAATTTTCTCTCATGTAAATTCAGAAAAAAAAAACAACAACAACAACAACAACAAAAAGACAGCTGCGTCAAGAAAAATAATGTGTCACTACTCATTATTTCCTCTTGGCTATGTATCATCACTAGTTTAAACCATTTTTGTCATTTTTTTTATTAATAATGATGAAGAGTTCTTGGAAAATTATATCTTTTGTAGTGCTGATCAGTGGCTGAAGCACATTATCGAAAGAAACTATTAAGCCTTTAAATTTCTCCTAATAATAATAAATTCAAGACAGAAGGAGACTAAAGGTGGAAACATTGTAAATAATGGGTTACTGTTTGATTTTAAGCCAAATTTTAAGATAAATTCTAAAATAAATAAAAAAATTCTAAAATAAATTCTAAAATAAATAAAAAAAATAAAAAATTCTAAAATAAATAAAAAAAAATTTAAAAAAACACGTTTGTCAAATACCGTGAAGAATTGATGATGGAGGTTTAGATCCTTGGAGAGATAAAAATTGATGGAGGGGACCATAAAACGCTAGGAAAAGCTTAGTTAGGATGTTAGATCGGACCATGGCTTTAGCAGCATGTAGATGCTACTTTCTACTTCAGTTTATTCTTTCTTTCTTTTTTTTTTCAAGAGAACGGGGGCAACAACATAAGGATAGAGGAGAAACACGAGTTAAATAATGACATTTTCTCTTGCACTTCTTCTCACGAATCAGACTTTTGGCTTGCCTCTAGTTGCTTGTAAGGTCCTGAATGCACCTGTTCCACAACTCGATAGACCAAAGAGAAGCTCGTGTCTTACGTCACAGTGACTTGTAAATGGACCACTTTTAAGTGGTCTATTTAAGAGTGATTAAAATCTCTTCAGTATAAGGGGTTGTAATTCGACTGGTCATATCCTTCTTCTTTTTTCACGCTTCCGAGTGAATCTTGCCTCTTCGCAGTTCGTAATATATGCCTGATAACTGGTTCCTCTAACACCGTGTAGAGGCTTACTTGCCGAGAAAAATAGGCAGAGGGGAACTTTACGACCGCGAAGGAGGGAATACCAAAACAATAATTTTTTTTGTCAACTTCTGACGGCAACTTTATGAAAGATGAGCAAAAGAAGAGAAAACAAGTTGAACAGCAATAAAAAAAGCTGTGTCTGCTCATTTGCAGAGTAGAGTGGGTGGTTCAAGCCACAAGTAATTGTTGAAACTTCAAATTTCTATTCGTATTTTTCTCCTATACGGTAATCGGGAAGGACAGTTAACTTATTAGCTTCTTACTCCCTTCTTACGCGTGTTCTCCCTATAGTTTTAAAAGATCCTGATATTAAACAGCTCGCGGTATCAGGCAAGTCAACAGAACAGGCAATAATTTATCTGATGCACCTTACCTTAGAAGTTTTAGACAAGGGTAATTGTTTTAACAGGTTCTTTTTCGCGGATTTTAAGAAGGGGTTCGACCTCTTAGAGCATTTGATATTGTTGAGCAAGCTATCTAAATTTGAGATTCATAATAGCCTTCTTAGGTGGATAGCTTCCTTTCTGCACGAGCGATCCCGGGTAACACGTATTCGTACCAATTTTTCTTGCGCGTGCACGTTACGGGGCGGCATCCCTCAGGGCACGAAGCTTGGCCCTCTACTTTTTGCGGTAATGGTAAACAATCTTGGCAGTGCTTGGGTTCCTTGTGCTAAATACGTGGTGGACCTCACTGTCATCGAGACCATTCCTAGAAATTCGCCTTCTGTGTTGAATTACATCGTAAATGATATTAATTCTTATGCATTTCAGAATAACATGCGCCTCAATCCGCGTAAATGTAAAGTTCTCGCGGTTGACTTTCTTCACTATAATAGTTGTGTGCCCATGCCGATCATGGTTGGCGGATCTCTTGTAGAGCAAGTTTCATTGTTTAAGTTGCTCGGCGTACATGTTTCGGAGGATCTTACGTGGACTGTGCACATTGACTGGTTGGTGAAGAAGGCCAATCGTAGCTGCGTAAGAGTGGCGTACCTCCTGTAGACATGGTTGCTATATACTGCGTGCTTATGAGATCTATATGGGAGTACGCGTCAGCTGTGTTCGCTGACTTGCCAAAGTGCCTGGATAACGCACTGGAAGATGTCCAGAAAAGGGCTCTCTCTATTATATGGCCTGACCTTTCATACGAACATGCGCTTGAAAAGGTCGCTATTCAGTCCTTGTTGGCCCGCCGCGCAGATGCATGCGAGCAGTTTATCCGTAAAACTCGCCAAGGCCACCCCTTGTACCCCCATTGTCATGAGCGAGTACTTCACAGCACAACGCAAATATGTCTGCGATCAGGCAAATCTTCTCACCGCATCCTTGTAAAAACTGAGCGTTTTAAAAATTTCGTTACCGTTAAGTATCAGCCTGTGTAATGTATTGTTTGTATGATATTCATATTTATTATGTATACACTGTACCAGTAATTCAGCCTCAGGCTGCAAGTGGTCAGAAATAAACTACATTATTATTATTATTATTATCATTATTATTATTATTAACTTGAAAAGTCAGAATATTAGGGATTAAGCTTCGCGACTAGAGAAAAACGCGTCCTCTTTAAGTATTTCAAGTCCTTTGGATTCTAATGGCGATATTTGGCGATCAAATATACTTGGAAATAATAATATCTTGATAGACGCCACTGACGAAAATTCAAGCAACCTAAATGCAAATGACTTTCTCAAGACCCAAATCTGCATTCGCCGAACGTACAATTCTCTGAGGAAGACTCGATCAACAATCGAAGCAAATGATCCTACTATTGAGATCTCGTCAAACATAATACCTGATCGTTTTCCGCATTATGAAGCCTTTGAAAAGCCCTCCTTGTTTAAATGGGGGCTTTCAAACGATGGAAGAGCATTGTTTGTCAAAACGTCAACAATCGATGATGCATACACTGAAATCTCTAAATGGCGCAAGAACACCTTCCTCGTTCCATATGGAAGACCAGGCAAGACTTTCATCGATCAATTAACAAAACATATAAACACATGGAACAATGGCGCTGAAGGGAAACATGTCTCGATTAAGGCAGTTTTTGTTCTTAAAGCTGTTGCTCTCCAAAAGCCATATAGAAAGTCTAAAGCAAAAGATCATCAAGAATACTTCAGAGACGATTTACTAGCTCTAAACAAACGGTAACACCTAACAAGGCTAATGTTTTTGCTAATCTTGTGATGAAGGGGCAAATCCTTTCTGCCATGAGATACCTCAGTAGTGACGATGGTGGAGGGATACTTCCTCTCAGCGATGACGTCATAAGGCAACTTCGAGAAAAACACCCGGATGTACAGGAAGCCCAATTGGGATCCTTACTTTTTGGTCCAATTGAAGACGTCCCAACCACGTTATTCCTTGAAATTGATGATGAGATGGTGCGTGAGGCTGCAATGAGGACCAAGGGCTCCGGAGGTCCCTGTGGAGTTGATGCATTCGGGTTTAGGAGAATTCTATCATTGTAAAAGCTTTCAAGCAGTCTGGCAAAGATCTTTGTGATGCTCTCCGCCGCTATGTTGGCCAGAAGACTATGTACGGAGTACGTGGACCCCAGTAGCATTGAGGCGTTACTCTCAAGCCGTCTGATACTCTTGACAAGGGTGAAAGAGCAGTCCGACCATTTGGTGTCGGGGAGGTACTGCGCAGGATCATCGGGAAGTGCGTCAGAGGGGTAATAAAGACTGATGTTATTGAAGCTAGTGGCTCATTACAAGTATGCAATACAATGTGATACAACGCCACAATGAGATCAGAGACCTGGAGGCGGCACTGCTTAGTACCGTATGTAAAGATGTGCAAATCGAGCCTCCCCTGCAGCAAATTTTGAATAATGGAACCAATACTTTCCAAGATGCTCATCTTGATATTCTAGCCAGAGGTTTTTGGGAGCGACAGAAGTCTGCATACTTTGATGTCCGGGTATTCCACCCTTATGCTGACTCCTATCGTGAGAAGACATCTGAGCAAGTCTTTAAACAGCACGAAAATGCGGAGAAGAAACGAAAGTATGCTAGTAGAGTATTGGAAATAGAGCAAGGATCCTTTACGCCCCTTATCTTTAGTACCGCCGGAGGGATGGGCACTGAATGCAAAATTTACCTTAAACGCTTAGCTGAACTCATATCCATTAAGAAATGTGAAACATAATCTACCACTATGTCCTGGATCAGAGCCAAAATCTCTTTTGCGCTTTTACGATGCGCCCTCCTATGCTTAAGAGGTACAAGAGAGAAGAAAAGAACATTTGAGACATTCGCTACAGATTTTTTAATTGACAATGCTATGGCAAATACAAGCTAGACATTTTTAAAACTTGTTTTTACAGTTTTTTAGAATAAGAGTGTCATTTCCTTTCTCATATATTTTTTTTTAATGTAATTTACTTTTATAAGGATAATTTCGATGCACGTTTTTTTTTTAAATGCCTTCAATACGAACTAGTAGTTGCTTCCGCGATTTTTATATGTAGGTCGTTTTTGTTATCAAAGTTAGTTTGGGTCTGATACGAGTCTGATCCTAGAGAACCGATTTTAACAGATGTGTTCCGTGTCAATTAATTTGGAAATGTACGAAAGGAAAAACTATTACCCACGCGAAGTTATTGTAATGTTTTAAGTTTTGTGAAGGTGTAGTCTGATCGTCCGGGTGAGTGTAGTCCTGAGAAGGACTGTTGTCGGTGGTAGTGACTGACGTTTCGACAANNTAAATCGTTCCCTGTCTGTTCCTCGGTTCGTCTTTGTCTTTAACGTTGGTTAGTAACTGACGTAGTGTGGTGATGGGTTTGCGTCGCTCGAAACGTCAGCTTTTATAATCGTAACGGTAGCCAATTTACCATTTCAAATTTTTTGATATATTCAAATTTTACTGAAAACACACCCGTGATATTAATCCTTGATTTTACTCGCCCCTATGCGATGACCTATACTAATTTGCCTCTCTCTCTCCCAACCCTTCCCAAAAAATCTTATTCTGGTCCATCTCCTACTTTCCATCTTTCGCTGTGAATGGACCTAAGGTTCAAAATATCGTGTGAAGGACATACAAACAGCCGTCCACAACTTGAATACAAAAAAAAAATTGATCGGGAAGAGGTCACTGAGAGGTAACTGCCAACACTTTTGAAGAATATAGATTTGATAAATCATAATAACATGTAATGATATTTATGGAAGATAAATACGACAGAAATTAACAGCTCTTTAACGTTTACGCAAAATCGTGCACATTTTTCGTTTGAATCACACATTTGCCATTGGCAAAACTTTTAACCTTGTCTGGCTCGTTAGAGTTCGTAAAAGTTTGACGCGTGACTCAGTTTTCGTCCTAGCGTGACATTAGGTCAGCACGGTACGTCATCGTTAAGCACACAGGCTGACATCCAATCGGCAAACATTAAAGGATTACTGTCTCATAGCTCAGATCAGTAAACTAACGAGGATTTCTAACATTCTGTATGATATATTTATTGTCGTGAGTTTTTTTTTTCTCTCTGTTCGAGCAAAACATGCGTCGTTCAACAAAGGTTCATCCTTTTCAACCGCCGGGCAGCCAACTGGACTCCTACCCTGAAAAGTCCACGTACTGTGTGAAATACCTTATGTTTTTCATGAACGTTGTCTTTTGGTTCGTAAGTTGCTTGATCTTGGCAATCGCTGCTTACGCTATGGTGGAAAAACAAGAAATTTACGGTAAAATAAGCCGTATGACCACCGATCCTGCGGCGATTTTGTTGGGCATCGGTATCATAATGTTTATAATCTCCTTCACTGGTTGCTTGGGTGCACTGAGAGAGAATACGTGCCTGCTGAAGTTTTACTATTTCTCTCTAGCCTTCATGTTGTTGTTAGAAATCACGGCCGCAATCTTGGGCTATGTGTATTCGGGGAGAGTCAAAACCGAGATGCATAACGCGTTCACAAAGATGATCGATAACTATTTGGACGACCCAGATCTTCAACTCATTATAGATGCTACCCAAAAAGAGCTGAAATGCTGTGGTTCTGAAAAATACACCGACTGGGAAAGGAATGTATATTACAATTGTTCGTCTCCGTCGATCGAGAGTTGTGGTGTCCCTTATTCATGTTGCACTACCGACGAAGTCAACTCGCAATGCGGATTTGGTGTTTTGGCGCTTTCAGAGAGTGAAGCTAGTGAAGCTATTTACACTCAGGGATGCTTGAAAGGTGTCGAGGATTGGTTTCGAAGTAATCTACTTTTAATGGCGTCCATAGCAGCTTGTCTTCCCGTGTTACAGCTCATTGGGTTTTGTTTGGCACGGCGGTTTACTAATGACATTAACGATGTGCTCGCGATGCAGGGAAGGAACTGAACTTTGTTGTAGTAAAATTTTAAGCGTGTTTTCTTTTCTTTTTTTCTTTGTTTTTTTTTTGTGGTGTGGTGTTTTACTTAATATATCTTTCTACGCATTCTTGAGATCGCATTAAAACAACTGTAGATGTTGACAGAGAAAACTCTCTAATAGGCGATTTAAGTTATATCAACCTTTCCTGTTGGAGTTTGGGAGTATTTGCCTTACCACAGGGATAAATGCATTTTTTATGGGCAGCAAATTCCAGGGACAACAATTAGCATGGATGTAGAAGCTTTTTTTTTATGTGAATATTCATCAAGTTTGTTAAAGAAAAGAAAACGAAAAAAAAAACATGTACAATATATATTAAGAGACACTTTCGCGGATTTAACTTCCTACTTCAAGTGCCCGTGCACTTAAATAGTTTATTTGCACCTAGGATGTTATAATATATATTCAGCCCGTGTACCTGTAAATATTAGATTTTTAATGTCTTATTTATCCTGAGACAAAGGTAGAAGTGTAAAACACTTTTAATAAGTAAGTTGTTTTATGATAAAAATGGTATTCCAAACGTTTGGCCAAAGCGGAAAATGGGATGCAAGTTCAGATGTCTACTCACTGAATAAATGTATTTGTATTTAGTAGATACTAAGACAGCGAATCAGTAGCGTGGGAGGCATTGAAGGCTCATATTCCAAGTAACCTTGTGTGGAAGTGCTTTGCAGTGTGTTACAAGCTGAAAATTTTTGCTTAATTTTAATAAAACGTTCTTGAAAAAGTTTGGGAGTTATGAAATTCAACATTGCAATTATTCCATTTGCGCTTATTGGAGATTGGTTACAGCCAGCTCATATCCAACGAACACTCATGGAATAGTTGATAGATGTTTACCTCTGTGTAGCCCATGCATGGTTTGGGCCAAGAAATATTCTAATTATTTTTGGAATGAATTAGTTAAAATCACCTTTTTGCACCATATTGTCCCACTGTTTTAGCATATACCAAAACAGTTACTATTCACCCTCGTGTTGGTGGCCAGTGGTGAATAGGTGTTAAATCATAGCACTATTTCTTGGCCATTTTGTAAATAACATTTACTTGTAATTTCATGGGATGAAAGGAGCTTCAAAAGTCAGTTATCATGCCAAGCCTGTGAAAATTTGGTAGAATAGTTGGTAGTCTGTGTAGCTGGCAGCAGCAGTTGCTTAATCAGTACACAACATTACTGCCTACTGTCACAGGAGAGTTGTGCAAGCTTTAAGGAGAATGGATCAAAGCCTTTTTTATGCACCTGCTCCTGCTAAACTTGCTTGCAAGAAAATTGGCTCAGTCAGTCAGTTACATTTGAAAATGTATCTTTGGGAGTGTTATCATATCAATGACAACTGTTTGTTTTAGGATTGTTAGATAGGCCTTGAGGCAGTCATGCTTGTGGATCGCTGTTCCACAATCAGTACTTATGCAAAACAATTTTTGTGTGAAAACTGTGTTAAAGTGAAATCATTTCCAATGCAAAAAAAAGACTGATTGTTTCAAACGTTTAATGATGGGTTGATCAAAAACACTTTAGATAATTATGGTAACTAATCCATAATTTTACCACCAATGGGAGTTTTAAGGACTAAGAATGTGTTTGGGGGTGATCTTTGGAACCATTACCAGCCCCATTGTTGAATTCATTGATTCATTGAAATACAGAATTTTATCATCTTCTAAATCTTAATTAAGAAGAAGTGAACATTAATTTTTGTCACCTAAGGGGAGGGGGGTGGTGGGTACATGTGCACCAACACACCTATAGCTGGGTGTTAACAAATGAGGTTGCATAGAAAGGTAGAGGGATGAAGTGTTTTGAAGAAGAACCACCATCTCTGAACTTACTCTTAGATAGACTTGTGAGTGTAAAGCGGAGAGGCCTTGTCAAATCCACATAGAGTGGGGCTGCCAACAGTGAGAACTCAAGACTATTATTAACCTCGGGTGGAACAGGGCATTACTGCTCTACATAGCACTTGGTATATATCATGAAGTAAGGGGTTTGTATCCTCCTTTACCTGGTTGCTATGCTTCACCTATTCCTTCATTAATTGCGGGGAATATAGTAATGATTGTAAGCTGAAATCATGCAGTACTATCTGCTAAAAAACATAGTTGTTGACATGTTTCAAGTTTCAATGATGTCTTCTTATTTTATTCCATAACACACCCTTGATTTTTACATGCAATAGATAAGAGTAAAAGACTTGCTCTACATTTCTTTTCTACACAATTCCTCAAACACTTGAATTAAAATCTTGTTCTGATAGGCAAACTCTTCCTAGAATCTGAAGCCTTTTAATTTGTTAACACTTGCATTTCAAAAGGCTCAAAGCTGAACTTTTTCATTGAGTCACCATCTTGCAACCTTAAAGCACAAGTTGCTGCCAGAAATGAAATTTCATTCCCCACCAGAAAAATTAGAAAGTCAATAGTTAAAACATTTTAGAATGAGATGAATACTCCAACTTTTTTTTTCATTAGGAGGCTTTAGTAATATATCATGATAAGGTTTGTTTAATATATCATTGCTCACAGATGATTGCAAGAATTGTGCATGCTCTGCGTACCCAACAACTTACTACAATCAAACCATAAAATCACAATCTTATAGCATCAATTCGTGAAAGTACTTCTGGCAGTACAATTTCTTGCTGTCTCCTACAAAGCAATTAATTTGGTACTAGTGAAATGAAGTCCCCAAGAATCACCTGAAATTTTAACTCATAATTATATACTGAAAAAACAGTTCTTTGCCTCATGTTCAGTAAATTATCGATGACAGTTGATCAACCAAGGCAGATAATTTTAAATTCACCACAGCTTTTTGCTGATTGACAGTCACTGCAAGGAAACCCTAAGGTAAAGAGCCACGCAATTCAGAGAGCATAAAAAAAAAAATTAAAAAAAAAAGCCAGATGATCCCTCCCTCTTATGAGAAGATTTATTTATGTATTCACACACAACTAAATTAAAGACTCTCATGATTATGAAGCAAATTCTCTTTGTCAGCACTCTAAAAAATGTATAGAGAATGTTATATGGAGAATATGCTTACTAATGTAAGGGTGCAAAGGGATAAAAAGCTGGATCCTTTATATATATCCAGTGTGCACCTCCTTAACCTTAATCAGATCACTAGGAGGTAAATCACAATTTAACCACTGACAGCATTGTTTTTAGGCATACATTCCTTTCTTAAAATTGTCCTACCCCCTATCATCACATCCTCTCTGTTTATTTCTGTATGTGGATGCGTGTGAATCAAATAATATTATGAATATTGTTCAACTAATAACCTAATATTATGGAAAATTCCACCTAGGGCTATCTATACCTGGATTATAGTAAATTTGTTATCTGGTTGGCCTATTTACTTTGTTCTAAATGCCACACTAAATGTACCTCTGAGTCAATTTACTTAGACATTAGAAAGCCTTTAGACAGTTATAATATGTAATAAATCATATATTAGAATTGTGCAACAGGAAGGTCATTCTGAGTGGATGATTGGGATGCGATCCTTTGTGCAAGTGCTGGTTATTCCACAGTTACGGACTTGGCCAAGTTGCGTGGACAATCCACCTGCAGAAGACCAACAAAGAGCAAGCTCAAAAACACTGTTACATAATTTTGTTACCAATGATATTCATTCATGACTCTGTACTGAGGGGAGGAAAGGAGGAATCCTCTTGAATTGGATGACTGGAGAATGGCTGTGTGCTGTCTGTCTAAAATGGTGCCAGCAAGCAGGTTGGTATTTTCAACCAACAATTATCAATCAAAAATAGATGCCTGCTCAAGAAGAATTCAATGTGGCGTTGAATAATTTCAAAGATGAGGTCAACGGGACAATTCAGGAAGACATACCAATGTGATTGTTAGATAGTGTTAAGCTACAGTGATGCACTAACATAAGTTTACCCACAGCTCTCCTGTTGGAAATTACAGGGGGTGGGTGTGACAATAACAAGAATTCACTGGAAGAATGTAAAACAAAAAAGCTGCCAATTAAATCAATTTCAACACAATTATCTGCTGGCCAGTTTTTCTTTTTATCATTCTAAGACTTGTTTTGCAATTTCAATGCCATTGAGACTACTTACTAGACATTTTTCTAGTTTCTTTTTTAGTTCCCTGAATACATTAAGTATGTGAACAAGCTAAGCTACAGGGATTGTTTTGTTGTGTTTTGATTTGTTTTTTTTTAAGTACGTGCCATAGCCAATTAATTCAGGCAGTGTAAAAGTTTAACCAATCAGAAAACAGGATTCATTACATCTTGCCTGATCATGGGGCTGTCCTTAATTAAACTAAACAAATATATCATGAGATTTGGTAAAAATTTTCAGGACCCATCTCCATGACTATGTATGTAAAAAAAATAGGCAAGGTAATTAATATTAATACTGATCATTTGTGAGAGCTGGATATAAGTAGAACTGTCTGTAAAATGGATGCCCTCAAATATACCTCTTCAAATTAATATTCACTGCCTCAGATGTGACCTCAAAAAATTGTTACCAGTAATTCAAACATTTTTTCAATCATGGTGTAGACTGAGTTACAGGGTGGATTAAGTTGTTGTTGTTGTGGTTAGTATTAAGTCTTGTCTTGAATGTTAGCCATTCACTCACATCATATCCACGAAGCACAGCAATGTGGAAAGACAACAACTGCAGTGGAATGACTGACAAGATTCCCTGAAGGCAGTCAACAGTTCTGGGCACCTCAAGAGTGCGGAACGCATGGCTCTTCACTTCTTCATCACCTTTATTGCAAATAAGTATGGGGCGCCCCTAACAAAAATAACATACAAAAAAATTCAAAAAGTTTTGGTTTTGATGAATATAAATTACAAAAAACTCTTGGGATGATCACAGCTAAATTTGACTGACTTCAGGGCAGTCCAGACTTTTTTGACTTGTGAAAACTCTTTCATAAACATCCTTGAACATTTGTGACAGTCAGGAAATAATTATAGAAAATTGGAGCTTTACATTAATTCTCCCTTTTTGCATGTTTCATAATGTTCCACTGACTCTGTCTTCTCAATCACATTCTTATCACCTAACCAGTAAAAAGGTGTTGATGCTGTAATGAGGAATTTCTCTTTGGTCACCTCTAAAGTGAAAGGCCAATTAATTTACTCAATCCATATAAAGCTGTCAACAAAACAATAAATAAAGGCTGATAGTTTCTAAAGAAACTGTTTGGCACTGCGTCGGTGGGGGTAACGAAATAATTTGAATATATCAACAGAGTTGAAATGGTAAATTGGCCACCATTACGGTTATAAAAGCTGACATTTCGAGCGTTAGCCCTTCGTCGGAGTGAATAGAGGAATTGTGGGTTGGGTGTGCTTTTAAAGGCAGAAAACAACTGATTTGAACAAAAAATGAACTTTTTGGCTTCTACCAAATCAAAAGATCATCACAAGCAGAGAATTAAGATGGGGTTCTTTTTACCTGTCGTGCTGTCACCTGCTGTAATGCATTCATGCATTTCTAAAAAAACAGACAATTTTCATAAAGTTATGCAGGGACTAGGATGCAAAAGTTTGGTCACAATTTTTCAACATGCAAAAAATTACCTTTAATTCATGGTGACAAAAATGGATAAAAAAATATGGGATAAAGATCATGAGGAGTGGAGAAATACAATTCATGTTACAGGAAGACATTGCAAATTAGAAACTGTTTCTTTCATTACCACAAATTACCAAAAGGCTCAGACGTTTTGGTGAAAAGTACATCAATGACACATATCGGAAGCTTGTAATCTACTACACTTATTTCATGCACCAAAAATTACCATCATGATGCTCTTTAAAATCATTCAAATTACTCCCCACTACCCTTCAAATGGGTGCCCTTCCCTTTGACTAAATGTGTTAGAAATTAATGATAATTAATGAAATGTGATGATAATTAATGAACAATAACTGTAAGAGAATATCAAATATAACACCGTTGAAACTACTAGCAGTGTTTAATTTATATCTCACTGCTTTTCCGTTGAATGCTTACTAGGCTTTATACTGGTACATTTTCAGTGCTCCGAGTCTACACTGCACTACAAAAATAAACAATTTCTGAACAAACCGTAAACACTGCATCCCTCGACACCAACATAATAACAGGCATGTTCTTGTCCACAAGAGCTAGTGGACCATGTTTGAGTTCCCCAGCAAGGATACCTTCTGAATGCATGTATGTCAACTCCTTAATTTTCTGGAAAGAAATTAAACTAATTATAAGAAAAAAGATCAATGTAAAGAAAAAGTTTGATCTAATGTCTGATAAAAACAAAGCTTAGCATAGGATGGAAAAAGTACTTTTCCAAACTAGAAAATTGAAAGTATCATCTGTTTACCCTTTTGTTTCCATCACCTCTCCTTATCTGTCTGTATGAAAATGTATTGAACAGATATAGTAAGGGGAAATTCAACATTGGTCACTCCTAGACAACTGAAGGAGATGCTTTAAGGAAATGCTCTAACCAGAGGTAAAACCATCATTGCTCAAAATTCAAAGCAATGTACACTGAAAATTTCAAAGTAGGACTCAAGTTGATCATACATATGTTTGTACATCTCTTAAATCCTATCACAGGTAACTTGGTTAATGAGACAACTACAGTAATTTCAAATGAAGATCATTACCAGAGCTCCTTCCAAGCAAGTTGCAAATTGAAATCCTCTGCCCATGACAAGGAGACTCTTCTGTTGATAAATCTCTTGTGCCAACGACTGGATTTCTTCATCTAATTTTAGAACCTCCTTTATGAGTTCTATGCAAAATTACAAAAAAAACAAACAATCAAAGAACCAAAAAACAGCCAGAGATAAGCAAAGGAGCAAATTGGATAACATTTAGTAACATTTAATTTAGTACTTAAATCCACGCGTAAATCTTGACTTTTAAATTGGGTTTCAAAAATAAACTGTTGTGTCTTGCATGGAAGTTTTTAATGGTATTTCAAGTTTCTTATGTTTAACCTGTGGGAAGTGCTATGGCTGTGGCTTATGGTCGGTGTGCTTGACTCCCAGGTGAGTTTTCCAGGTTTGAGACCTACATGGCCAGGTTAATGTATTGTGTTCTTGGGCACACAGCAATTCTCTCCACCTAGGAGTGTAAATGGGCACTGGCGAACAGTCAGGGAAGCTGCCTGATGGAATGTTTAAGGGGTAACCCAGGGATGGACTAACATTCCATCCACAGAGCTGGAGGGGTAACCCAGGGATGGACTAACATTCCATCCAGGGAGCTGGAGGGTTAGTAATACTTAATGCAAAGGAAACTGGGATGAAAGCTCTGACTGGGTCACAGGGCCACTTGGCTCAGAGTATAGACTAATTTGTAAACCCACCCATTACCTGCAATTTACCTGGTAATTTTTTCATCCCTTCAATTATTTCCCTACGTCTCTGCTGCATGGAGATTCTATCTTCTGACATCATCAAGGCAAACATTGTCAAAGCAAGGAACTGACTTGTGTAAGCCTGCACAATACCGAAATACAGTCACAATTAACAAAAATTACTGAAATGAACAAATTAACCCTTCACCTCCCAAGATCTGATTTTGAATTCTCCCCTCTAGCTGCTACACATTTCCTCATAAACAAGTTAAGAGAATTTGGTTTTCAATCAAGGTAACAACTTCTAACAGATAAGCTTGAGCATTCTCATTACATATTTATTGGATGATGTACGCATATGATAGGGAGAATTTTCATGTTAATCATTTCTGGAAGTTAAAGGGTTAAAAAAGCCCATTGATGGCTCTTAAAGATCACATGAAAATAATTTCAAAGAAGAGAAACTGTATTCCCCCCCCCACTTATTAATTGTCAACCACAAATTTTTAAGCTGGACAGCGCTTGTTATGAAAATTAATTTTAAGAGAGAAGCAACTTTTTCTAAGTTTAAAACACCTTTGTACTTGCAACACCAATTTCTGGACCAGCATTGATGTGACATCCACACATACTTTCTCTGGAGATAGAGCTTCCCACTGAAAAAAGAGAAAACAAAAAAAACAAAAACAAAAAACAATCCAATAATGGTGAACAAATTTTTTTAGTACAGTGTAACAAATTATTTAAAAAATCAGTTATCAAGTTGATCAGTGATGACAGCTAGTCTCTTCAACAGGTAGTAGAAAAAAAAATGTCAAGAAAAGTGAATGCTATCATCTCCATTGATCGATGCCACTTATCCAAAGATACACATACAGTTACCTCTACATTGCAGCAAACAGACCAGAAAAATAGGTAAATATTAAAAAAAAGGGAATAAATTAAGAGATGAGACAAGATAAAACCATCTGATTCAATATCATAACTTACTGGTAATTAGAAGTACAAATGTACATTGTAATATTAGCCATATTGAGCTAACCGCCTCCCAGTTAGCTCAATGGATAGAGCGCTGGACTGTTGTGCGGCATTTCCCACGCACGAGATTACTGTGTGATGAATGTCCTCCCCTGGAGTGGGATGGGTGGGATTTATTGGGTGGACTACTCGCATGGTTCGCACATGTTCCGTTCTAGTCCTACCCTCCTACGGTAATGCAGTGAAAATGATTAGAACAGTAGTCGCTTGATCATGCAGTCGTAAGTTATTCTACCAAATGGATATCATTAGTCAAGGTTCCTTCCAGCCCCCCCCTCCCACTCTCTGTCGAGTAAAGAAATGTCCTTACCACTTCCTGACTCTAAATTGACTCGTCCTCTCATTGTATTCACAACACTTTCTGGCTGTTCAAAGATTTCTTTCTGCATAAAGGAGCTGTAATTCCCTAAATTAAAATTTACGTGTATTTATTTTGAGCCATAATTATTTAGAAAGAAAGATACACTTCTTTCTTTATGATTTCTCAAGTCCAGCTGTAGCTGAACTCTACAAAATAAAACACTCAACAGGTCTTCCATGCTAACATGTATGCAAATGCACCCTTGCTTGTTGAGTCTGTAGTGACTGAAATACCCAAACCTGAATGAGAAGAGAGCCCTACTCTCCTATTAGCTTTTAATACACAGGAAATTCAAAGCCAACAAAGGCAGAATAATGTACCATCAACAAATTATACATAATTTGCCATCTTGCTGACACTACAAATCAAAATACTTAATTTTCAATTCATGAATGCAATCATTCACAACAGTTCTCTCACTGGTGACAGACATTATACTACAAAATGAGCTGCTAACAATCCATACAACTACCTTTCATGATCTGCTGCAACTCCATTTGAAGGGTCTGAACTTCTCTGAAATAATTCTCTTCGGATGCATCTCCACGCTTTATGCGATGGATTGAAAGATCTGCACACAATTTAAAAAATCATGATCATCATATTTCAATATCTGGGGATCAACCTTACAATCTAAGAGCTTCTCTGCACAGAGATTGCCTGGACCTGAGTTCATTTCTGTAGCAACAATGGGTGTTAAGCAAAACAAAATTCAGTTTCAGCTTTCCAATTAATTACTGGTAATTCACTAGACATGTCTATTTTCAGAAAATAGACTTTGGCTCAATAACTTTCCCAACTTATTTATTAAATAGAAAAATTGGCAATTTATGGAAATGTTCTCTCCCTGTGCATGGTGCTGGACAGGCGCAATCCCTAAATATACTACGTAAAACAGCTATGCCTGTTGACTAGTTAGAGAAGTTTTAAGTCATTTTAACTTACTTCCATTACTAACTGCAGCAACATCATCATCTTCCAAGTAGATCACTCTGTTCGTATGCTCAATAACAGCACTGAGGATTAAATATTTTTATCAATAATCCATTACATGAGCAGGAATATTTTCAAATTTTACAATTTCAGTGATTTGGGTACAATAACTTCTAGTCAAGATTAAATCATTGCTTCAACTGACACAGATAGGAATGGAGCTCAATTTTCAATGCCCTCTGATTAATTCTGTATAAAGGATCTGGAAAAGAGGGAACGGACTGAAGTATTAAACAAAATCTTGTTGTGCCCTACCTGGTAAAACTGAATGTAAAAATTACATGCCCTTACCTAGTGTCTCTTGATCTAAACATTTCTTTGTACATTGTATATACTTAATGGAAAAGCATTTTATTATCCAACTATACTCCTAAACGAGTACAAATAACACCATAGACAAGTACAAATATGCTAAAGCACTGTGATAGCTTGTGCCACAAGCAATCATCAATATTCTTCGGCATCGGCGAATTGTATCAATATGAGACATCAGACCACCAAGTCTTACTGCCAAATTGATGAAGAAAACATGAAAGTTACACATCAAAGATGAATTAATTCCAATATAATTATACATGTAGTCTCCTGTGCCATTTTGATTCAGGAACTGGCCATGATGTAGAAACACATTCTGCTAATTTCAAGCAATACACATTAGACTAAGTCTAATTAAGACTGAGTGACTAGCACCTTATTTCTCTTCACCACATCATCCCTCACAATTTTTTACCCCTTACATTTCTACCCCCTTTACATCTCTCTCACCCCTTATAACTATCACCTTACAATATCACCCCTGAATAACACATCAATATCACCAGAATAAAGGAAATTATTGCCAACCTAAGAAGCTTTGATTGTTAAACAAATTCTCCTTGTCAGCACCTTAAGAAATGTATAGAGAACAGTATGGAGATTTTGCATACTGACATTTGGGGGTAAAGGGTTACCAACAGTGAGCAAGCATTTATTTCATATATAAACATCCGCGAAATTCACCCGTACTGCAATAACAGTTTGGCATGTTGGATAATAAATAACTTATTAGACGTTTTGTTGTGTAGTATCGATCGCTGAGTATTTTTACTCGTTATTTGTATTTTGACTCGCCCTATGGGCTCATCAAAATATGGCACAACTCGTGAAGATACTCTGCAATACTACACAACAAAACGTCTAATAAGATAAATGTATTAATATTGGACAGCTGCACAGTTCATGTACTAAGCACGAGTCCTGCAAGAGTCTCTCTAACTGATGTCAGTATACAAACCTTGCATCTGAGGCAAAGTAAATTTCAATTGGACTGTCTTTGTTTGTAGCCAAACTTGACCAACCAAAACCATTCACAGCAGCATCTTTTCCTTCAGCCTCATCATGTGTATCTCCTAATATACATGCAAGACAAAGAAGAAACAGCATGCATGCCTCACTCAAAATAAATGAGGCATTTGAAATGGAGATACCTCATTCATATTCAATTATTTTGCATTTCTTCTCTCTTCTCATCTTTACCATCCAATTTTGATACTTCTCTTCCTTTTTTTTTTAAGTAAAAGGTAACTTTATCATTGAGTTTAATTAGTTAATTATCTGCTGGTAATTGTAAGTCAGAGTGTTGGTTGACAGAGCTTTAACTGCACTATACAACATGATTGATTTTATATTTACCTGAACTGTACACAATGGGCAACCTATCTGTTTTCAGGGGGAATGCACTCTTGATACCCACAAGCAGGGGACTGCCACGCCTAACAAAGCCATTGTGAAAGAAAAATTAAGTTTCACAACTTTCTTTATTTACTAATAAGCAAAATAACATACAATGGAACAGAATTAAATCAATGGCACTCAGGCATTGTTGCAGCTTGAAGTACTTACTAGCCAGATCTAATTTGCAATATGTAAATAAATTTGGCTTATTTTAATAAGTGGAACCCGATGTATTTCAATGCAATAAACTGACTCCTGAATCAGATGAAAGGGAGGGAAAAGAAAAAGTTGTGTCATTCATATTTCATTGGATATTTTGGATACATTTCTTGACGACAAGATGGTTGAAAAATATACCCGCTGCAGCCATCGCCAATTGAGAGAGAACTTTGAGGACCACACCTTAATTCTTGCATCTAATTCATTTCATTTTAAAGATCAGCGGTTCAAAGTGAGCCTATTTCTATTTCATATATGTTAATGTGTTTTAAATGTTTGACACAAACCTGGTGGCCACAATTTCACCTGGAAACTTTGAGCTTTTAAAAGCAAGTGCAAATGCTCCCTCCTGAGGAAACAAATGATAACCATTAATAAACGGGATGCATGTTAGCAAATTCAATTCTTTCAACAGATGTTACAAGGATTGTGGTTTTTATCTTGGCACATATTATTATTGCAAAAGGCAGAGAAGAGGGAGAAAGAAACTTAAGGAAGCGCAAAGAAATTTCACTGGACTTACCAATTGTTGTATGGTCATCTCCACAAGTTCTCTAAATTCTAGTTCCTGTCCTTCTTTTTTCTGCTCAGAAAATAAAATTGAACTGCCCCTTTCATGCATGTATTTTGACAAGTTTAATAGGTTAAACTTATTTGTCCGAAATCCACAGAGATGGAACCCTAAAGAAATGAGTCCGGGGAGACAGCTGCCTAGCTAGTAGATTCCCCTCCTATGCCCACCTAGAGGATTAAACTTCCCAAGGGCTTTGATACTATTAGCACAATCTAGAAGTTTAGAAATTTCCCATTCAAATCAAGAACCAACAAAAAAAAAATTTCATGATTATATAATCAAGGACAATTAGAATCCCAATCAAAATAGATGAAAAATGGATGTGATACAAAAATGAAGAACAACACATCATGCTCAGTACCAATAGTGATAACTCTTCTTGGGTCAATTTACCGTTTTGTCATAGAAATACTTGACCAGCTTTGGTATCACTTCAGTATCTGTTTCAGATTCAAAGCGGAATCCTTTGCTCCCCTGGTAAAAACAAAAATGTATACCAATTAAAATCTTGATTCCTCTTCAATTATATGCTGCAACAGGCAATAAAAGAAAATTAAAAAAAAGTACAACATGCATGTACACACTGAATGCATTTAACCCTTTACACCCTAACATCAGAATACATATTCTCCATACTGATCTCTATACATTTCCTAAGGTGCTGACAAGGAGAATTTGTTTAACAATCAAACCTTTGTCCTTAACACCCTAACATCAGTATGCATAATCTCCATACTGATCTCTATACATTTCCTAAGCTGCTAGCAATTGGGAGAGTTAATTTGGTATAATTATTATAATAATCAAGAGTTTCTCGAGTTGGTAATTATTTCCCTATGAATTAATTATTAATACTCTTGCGACTTTGAAGTGTGATCTGGGGCTGATATTGTAAGGAGAAATAAGATGTTAATCACACTTGGGGATCAAAAGTGTCAAAGGTCTGAACCTGAGAGTAACAGGCTTTGTTGTGTCTTGATCATCTGCGTAAACTTGTCTATGGCGTGGAGGGCATGGCTATATATGGTCGCCGTGATAGTGAATCATGTTTTAAAAACCTTCAGTTGATAGAAGTCGTCATCAGAGTCAACTAAGGAGTTCTTTATTGGTCAAATGCCAAATAATTAACAATTATTCCACGAGCGCGCATTGGATATGAGATGATAGATAGCCAACGAGGCGCATAGCGCCGAGTTGGCTATAATCATCTCATATCCAACAAGCGCGAGTGGAATAATTGTTTTATTAAAAACGCCCCCAAGATATTAGACATTCAAATCTTACCAAACCTTAAATTTTTTAGCTCCCTTTTAATTTTAACCCGACGCGCACGCTACCATATTTGTAGATTATGGTATATTGGCTCATATACCATAATGGCTAAGCCAATAAAAAGTCTTGAATTGCATTATCCAATGATTCAGTTTTTAATAATTATAATTAGCCTAGTTCTAAAAATGGATTACAAGATCTGACTGAACCTTTTTGGACCAAAAAAAAAAAAGTTATTAACACAGATTTTCTGATAAAAGAAAAAAGGAAAAAAACCACCCCCAGATGGGATATAAAATGAAAGGAAACTACTTTTTATACATGAAACTATTAAATGTTCTTTAGCAAACACAGTTAGGAATATATTCAGCATCTAGAAGACAGATCAATAAGCTCAGACACTTAATAAGTGTTACTAATTTTTTTTATTCTCAATAGCAGACTGAGGTGAATAAGTTTAGCAGGCCTTACCATAAATGTTTTGATATCTTTGTAGTTGGTTATAATGCCATTATGAACTGCCACAAATTCTATCAAAGAAAGATGAAAAACAATATTATACAGTGGAACCCCTCAAAACCGGACACCCTTAGGACCGGAAGAAATGTCCAGTTTAGAGGGGTGTCCGATGTACTGAGGTTTTACCCACAAAGGTCCGGTAATACGGGCAACATTTTTCTTCAACTCGTCTTGCAACATTGTTGCATTGCAAGTTGAAACCCTTTGTTGAAAATTTGTTGCAGAAAGTAGAACTCGATTCTACTTTGCTCGACAGGTTGCCTCAACTTGCAACACTGTATTTTGTTACGAGACAAGTTGGTCACGAACGTGGTAATACGCGCAACAAAGGGTTTCAACTTGCAATGCAACAATGTTGCAAGACAAGTTGAAGAAAAATGTTACCGTATTACCGGACCTTAAGGCAATTTTATGCAGCATAATGTACTGTCTGACCGTAAGTACCAGTACATGGTACACAAGCACTAATAAAGCACATCAGTAAAGGAAGTAACAACATAGATCAGAAGGAAGCTTTTCAACATCATTTTATTTAATCTACAAAAAAATTCAGTGTTACACACAGGGTAATACGATCACTGCTTTAATTCATTAATTTTGTAGACTTCTTTCTTTTTTAAAATATCACCTACAGTTGATTTACGAATCTTAAATATACTCTTTAGAGCCTTCACTGTGGGTTTAGGCACTGATTCCGTGCATTTGATCAACTCAAGTCTCTTCTCTAACGATAACTCGATTCTTTAGCGTTTCGCTGGTCACTCAGACAGTGATGTTTGCTACTGCTTTGTTGAGATTGTCGAGTGATTTCACCAGCAACATGACAGTCTCTTAAGCTGACCCCATGACAGTGGCATGATTGTTGACTTTAGATTTTTTGCTTCAGTACTGATAAAACAATGAGTAATCAGCCCATGTGCATTTCTCACTTCTGATTGGGATTTCACAGCTGCATGATTACAATTTTAATTTTAATCATGTTTAAAAATGTGTCATTAAAATTTGGCGGCAAGCTTAAAACTTTCATGTTCAGTTTGATGAGGTCAATTTCTTTGGGTAAATGTGATTACGGACTGGAAAAAGCATCCGGTTTCCGGAAGTGAAGGGTTCTGGTTTTTTGAGGTTAAAAATAGAGAAAATGTATGACAGAGATCTTGGGGCCGAAAAAAAGGTCCGGTATAGAGAGGATTCTGGTTTAACAAGGTCCGGTTTAGAGGGGTTCCACTGTGAAAAAAAAAAAACTCATGGAATACCGTCTTGCCAAAATAAAATCAAATTTAAGTACCAATAAGGGACACAGAATTAAAGAATGAGTGAATCACATTATATGGCTTACCATTGGATGGATCTGATCTCTGAGGATGACTGTTCACACCACTTGGTTCACCATGGGTTGCCCAACGTGTGTGTGCAATACCGCAGTGAATTGAGAGCTCCTCATCTAAGCTAAAGTCACTCTGAGCTAAGAAAAACAACAATTGTGAAATATTGCAAGTAACTGTAGACTCAATCAATTTGATCTTAAATCTAACAAAATCCTCAACAGCTTGACTTTAATAGTGACTTCTGACATATTGACATATTTAATAGTGATTGCTGACATATCAATAATTTCTGCAAACAGGCACAGTTGGCACTATCAGACAACAGTTTCCAGGGCTGTGCTCTAGCAGTGCCTGATCGCCCCTGGTGCCTTACTTTTGCTCTTAGGTGACTTAATAGGAAGCCCAGTTTTTTCACAAAAAACATATACTGGGCACCCTGGATTTCACAGTTTCAGAGCACTGGGCTCCCTTCAATTTTTCTTCGAGCACAGCCTTGGAATCAAAAAGAGAAAGCTTTTATGAAAGCCAATTTAAAAAGTGTTGTTTGGATCAAGGAGATAGAGACAAGTAAGTGAGATGTAAAAAAAAAAAAGGAAATTAAAGCATTACCCCCTAATATCAATATCCAGATTCTCCAGACTGTTGTCTATATGTTTCCTAAGGTGCTCACAAGGACAATTTGTTTAACAGTCAAGTGCTTCATTAGTTGGTGATTATTCCCTTAATTCCCATAACTTTACTGTGTGATTTGGGGGTGATATTGAAAGGAGAAGTTAGGTAAGAGGGTTAAAGCTGTGATGAAAAGTTAACCTCTTAATCCAAACCAGTGACCAGCATCCAATTTCTTACAATATGATCTCTGAATAAAACATCACAGTCATGAGAATAAAGGAAATGATCACTGGCTGTAAAAACTCTTGATTAATGCACAATTTCTCCTGGCAGTACCACAAGAAATGTACAGAGAACACTCTGGAGAAAATGCATGCCGATGTTAAGCTACAAAGGGTACTACATAAGTATACTTTGCTTTGGAATCTTTTAAAATTGAATACCATGGATTTCTTGCTGAAGTGCAGCAACTTTCCCTCTCTTTTTCACAATTCTATAAGTAAGAAATATAGTCAGAAGTTTAAAGCCAGGCTTTAATTCTTTTTAATATTTTGCAGAATGCAAAGATCTAGTCAATGATTGATCAAAGTTTACAAACTATGTATTCCTTTCTTTCCTTTTCTGTTTTTTTTTTATTTTATTTTTTTTATTTTCACCTTTTCAAGATCACAAAAAGAACCAGGTGAGTTGCTTCCCTCAATAAATGAAATTCAACAACATTTTTTTATGATTTCACTTATAACTGTACAATTTTGCTGCTGGTGGCAAGTAATGAAATAAATAATTGTTGGGCTTTAGACTTGTTGTTTTAGACATTTCAGCATAGGGATGATTTTCTCAAAAAGAGCAGTTTTCAGAAGCCACACCAAAAAAAACATTGACCTCAGTAAGATCTCCACAGAGCCTCATACTGTTCGAAAACAAAGCGGTAGTCTCAAAGGCAATCTATTGTTTTTGCTGTTGTTTTTCTTATCCAAAATGAATTATATGGCTGTGTGGAAATCTTACCTTGACCTCTGACCTAAAGTCATCTATTTATTCAAAAAATACTACTGCCTCCCAAAAAGAAAAAATGCAGCAAACATCTAATCCCTCAAGCTTGATTGCAGGTCAAGAAATGCACTCAGACAATGAGAGTTGTAGGAAAACCACAATATAATTGCAATATAATAAATTATCAAATTTGTAAACCTTCTTTGTTATAAAATCACTCAAACATAGTTGAAGGAAAACCACAAAATAATTGCCATAAAATAAATGTAGCAAATTTGTAAAGCTCCTTCATCTGATACTCAAAACGCACAAAACACCAAGCCAATAAAATCAATCAAAAATCGATCAGCTACAGATTTAAGAAGCTGTAAAGTTTAATAGTTCACATCACTGATCGAAGATAAGATATTTGTATTAAATATCCACGTCATAACTATTAATAACTTTAAAGGAGTAATTTAATATAGAGGACGTTCATATGACTTCCTAAATTTCCCGGAAAAGCAGACTAAATGGATAAACTCGCACGAAGAAGCTAAAAGGAACTACAAGGAGTTCAATTTTCTTTTTCATGAGATCAATACAAGATGTGTATCTATGATCGGACGCAGAGATCCACGTTGGCAATTCGGTGGTAATGAATAAACATGAGGGAAATTTGTTCTGCAAGGCACAATCTAATTCTTCTTTAGTTGCAAAGGTAGCTAAGGGTAATAAGCCTGTCTGTTCATCGACTTAACTCAGCCTCTCTCAGGTGACAGAAATTTTCTCGATCGCACAAGAATCCAAACTTTCGAGTGTTTCACTCATGGTTGCGACCACAACGATCCAATCATTGGCAGCAATAAATTTTCGCAATACATTACTGAAGCGGGAAAATCTAAAACTGATGCAAGAGTTACCTCAGCTCTTCGACTCCATCGTAGGCCACCCCTGAAATGTTCAAGATCAGGAAGCCGATCAGTTTATCAAACCTATAGAAAACCATAAAAAAAAAAAACGACTAATAGAACGCACAAACCTGCAGAATCGTAGCCACGATATTCCAGTCGCTGAAGACCACTGATCAAAAGTTCCAGAATGTATTGACGTTTTCGAGGAACACAGAAGTTTAGATAAGCAAATATGCCTGTAAAGAAAAAGAGAAGTTCTTATAGAATTGAGCTTACTGCACAGGAAACTCAACACATGAAATGATTCAGACTTAAGCCTCAAATATTTATCATAAACCTTAGAAAAACTTATCTGGAAAGAATGTATCAGAAAACATATCCACAATAGTAACTCAATTGTTTTTCCATCAACAAAAAACATACTCACCACACATGATGGAAATTCCGTAATAAGAGGTGGAAAAGTCTCTTCCACAGGTAAAATATTTAAGCTTATTTTGAAGCTTACAATGGTTAAGTACAATATTCTTGTGACCGACCAATTTGAGACTTACTTTTATGTTAGTCAACTTTATCTGAAACGAGTTACTCATCTTAGAAGAGCTATGATTGGTGGATCGGTTGAGATTATCCAATCACAAGAGCAAGTTCCATATGATGAGCCCTTACTTATACTTTCCAGCGGTCAAGTAGAAATGAGATGTATTCTAACAAGATCTGTAATTGGTCACTTTTTCTTTTATCCAATTAAAAATCTCCTAATACAGTAAAATTTGTTATTCCAACTGGTGGAACACCCATTCATTTCGAATTTTGATAGAAGATAGCAGTAATCGCCCTTTGATTTCTTTTCCATCAGTTTCCTAAACATGGACCAGGAGTACGATTACGTTATCCTTGGCACAGGACTGAAGGAATGTATTTTGAGTGGTCTGTTGTCCGTAAATGGGAAAAAAGTTCTTCATATGGATCGCAACTCTTACTACGGAGGAGAAAGCACATCCATGCATCCCCTCGATGAGTTGTTCAAGAGATTCGGGGAATCCGAAGGCCCGGACGACAGCTTTGGCAATAGCCGTGACTGGAATGTTGACTTGATTCCCAAGTTTTTGATGGCAGATGGCGGCCTTGTCAAGTTGCTGGTTCATTCGCAAGTGACGCGTTACTTGGAGTTCAAGCAGATTGAAGGAAGCTATGTTTTCCGTGGTGGAAGCGTCTACAAGGTTCCTGCCGATGACAAGGAAGCTCTCTCCTCTAGTCTGATGGGAATCTTCGAGAAACGACGGTTTCGATCCTTCCTTCTCTTTGTTCTGAAGTACAACGTCGAAGACCCAACCACTTGGAACGGCATCGACCCGAAGACTTCCACCATGAAAGATGTATATTCCAAGTTTGGTCTCGATCAGAACACTCAGGACTTCACAGGCCATGCCATCGCTTTGTATCTCGATGATGACTACAAAACAAAGCCGTGTGGGGAGCCTCTTCAGCGCATAAAACTGTACTATGATTCTTTGTCTCGCTACGGTAACAGCCCCTATTTGTATCCTCTTTACGGACTTGGCGAATTACCACAGGGGTTTGCCAGATTGTCGGCTGTGTATGGGGGAACATACATGTTGAATAAGCCAGTGGAAGAAATTGTCATGGAGAACGGCGTTGTCTGGGGAGTGAAGTCAGAAGGAGAGGTTGCGAAAACGAAAGCTGTTATCGCCGATCCTTCGTACTTTCCCGAGAGAGCTGTGGAAGTGGGAAAGGTTGTTCGATGCATTTGTATTCTGTCTCACCCAATTCCTAATACAAACGATGCAAAATCCTGCCAGTTGATCATTCCCCAGAATCAAGTCGGCCGAAAATCAGGTTAGTCTGATATCTGCAAGGTTTGATCACCATCTTTACTTTTATTTACTCAATTACTGGTAAGCAAAGATACAAATAAGACTTTCGTTCGATAGATGTCAAATGCCGTACAATTACTGCTGCAGTTAGCTCAGTTTCGGGTGCCATAAACCTTTCTTAAAATGATTCGATTTCTTGGTTATCAAGTAGGGTCAAACAGCTGTCCACCATGTTTTTGTTCCAAGTTGATGGTTTGGATGAGTTTGTGTACATACAAATAAAATTAAGATAATGTAGTTTCGAATGGAACATAGTTATTGGCATTTTATCTTCTGGAAATGTTCGTTTTACCAGGAAAATCTATTTATTTTTGGTTTATGTCACTGATCTCCTCCTAAATAGTAAATTTCAAGAATTAAAATTATCTTCGAATCGATTTGCATGAAGTTATTAATATTAACAAGATACAGACACCTGTTCACGATAAGTAAATATTACCACAAAGCCATTGCTGCCGTTGTTGTTGCCTGCTCTTTTGCTAAATATTTTTTAAACACTAGAAGTACACAGTTTTTTTTAACCCTTTCACATTCAGAGTGCCCAAACAAGACTTGTCCTTACAATAGCAGTTAATTTTTGAAAGAACAAAAAATGGTTAATGAGGGTTGCAAAGGGTTTATACTTGACAGGTGATTAAGGCCAAAATTAGTAAGTGACATTGGAATGTTACTGAAAGGTGAGCTTGATCCATGAATTTATGAACCAGTGTGAGGTGGGATTTGCCCCTAAGAATACATATATGACCCATGAATTTTTTTTCATATTGTGAAAATCTCAAGGTTTGTTTGAAATTTAGAAAATCAGATATTGTTTAGAGTACAAGTGAAGCAGGACTTTTTCTAACATTTGTGTGTGAAGAGGAATCAGGACTTTATTGAGTTTTATAGAGTGTTCTATCGCGCAATAGAGTGTTCTATCGTGCGATAAGTTGTTCTATTGCGCGATACCGTGTTCTATTGCGTGATACAGTGTTCTATCAGATGATAAGTTGTTCTATCGCACGATAATGTTGATTGCAAATTTTTTGAATGAATGGACTTAGCAAAACTTATCACGCGATAAAGTCATGAAAATTTTTGTAGGTGGATGGCTTTTGAGAGCCACCTTAGCATTGCCAAGTGTTTATTTATTATAATTTTGATTGCTCGAATTTACATCTTGTTTCCACAAGTGCCTCCCGGTTAGCTCAATGGATTGAGCGCTGGACTGTTGTGCGGGAGGTCGAGGGTTCGAGCCCCGGCCGGACCAACACTCAAGGTCTTAAAATAATTGAGAAGAATATGCTTCCTTTCTGTAACATCAAGAAATGGTTAGATATTCTAGTCTTCTTGGATAGGGACGAATAAATGGAGGTATCGTCTCCTGCAGGGTTAGGGGTAGGAGACGTTATTTTCCCACGTACGGGTATACTGTGTGATGGATGTCCTCCCGTGGGGTGGGCTGGGTGGGTGCTTACAGGGCCATTCTGAAAACCACTTCTGTGAGAACGCACCCTGTCTAAAGATTATTATCTATCTATCTATCAAATGACTCTGAGTCTGAGCAGGAACTTGCAGAGCATGATAAAGATGTCTTTTTTTCCCAGAGTGAAGAGGAAGACAAACTCAAATCATTTTGAGAACTTTTTTGAAAACTTGACTTTCATCATTATAATAATTATTATTTGCAGTGAAACTACATGACCATAAGGTTGACTTTTTGTGTCTTTATATGATAAAAAGAAAGTGAACACATCGAGGGACTTTAAACATTGTTTTAATTTGTTTTTCCCCGGTATATCAGTTTACTATAAAGTACTGATATCAAACAAAAAATACTTCAGAGGAGAGTTTCCATTCAGTATGATCATGAAGAAAAACTGTTTTATGAAGTGTTCATGGTAGTAAAAGTTAACTAGTTAACCATAAGTGATAATTAAATAAAAAAATTAATTTCAGTTATTGAAAATCATTATTCTAGTGAATTTCATTATATTACTTAATTATCTTAAGTAATGTCAGGTCAAGTTGATAAGTTGTCCAGAAAGAAATGAAGATTTGAAAGGACCTATGTCCTGTTAATGGCGAAAAATTATTTCCAGCACTGTCACATCACACTGATAAATGTTCAATGGCTATAATTTATATTTGGTAGCTAAAGCACTAACAATATGTGACCGCCTGCCCGAAACGGAGGTTAGGAAATACATCATAACAATCACATCGGCATCACAACAGACCCCTCGTTACATCCTTCATTAATAGATAGGAAAAAGTTAGCAAGGAGGTACCGTTCTCAGAGCTTCATGTAAGATTATAACTGGTATTTACCTTTAGCTAGATCTTGCAAGTGAAAGGGTTATTCAATAGTTGGTGCATCCGCAGACTAAAGAAACTTTTTGTCACACAGGACTCTCCGATATATTTTTGCTGAGCATTTGCATCATCAGTTCTAGAGTTGAAAACCCACAGTTTAAATTTTAAATGCACAGCTCTAATGTCAATCATTCCATCGAATTATTTTCTCTCTTACCCTTTCTTACCAGATATCTATGTGTGCTGTATGTCTCAGACTAATTCAGTCACCCCGAGAGGTAAATACTTGGCCATTGTTAGCACCCAAATTGAGACAGAGGATCCTCCATCAGAATTACAGCCAGGCTTGAATCTTCTTGGCAAGATTGACAAGAAGTTCATATGGATCAGTGACATGTTTACACCTAAAGATGATGGTAAAGAAAGTCAGGTATGTTAAGTGTGGTTACACCTCAAGTTCTTTGTATGTTTTGTTTTCATGCCTCATCTGAGACACATTTTGATCATTAAACTCTCAGGAGTGATTAACACATACAGTACATTACTAACAGCTTAAAAGTGTTTAACCATCCCACTGTGTTGTAAGCACTTTACAAACTAGTTCGGGTTTAAAAGTGAACAAGCTATATATACACACACTCTGCTTTTGTAGTTTGTTCATGGCTAATGTGATTGCTCTTGCTCATTATTTGAATTAGTTAAGCACATGAAACACAATTTAAGCATTGCCAGTTAGTAAACATCTGGTTATAGTTGCTTCAATTTAAATTCTCTTTTTGCAAGAGCAAGATTGAAGACTTTTACTTTTCTTGCATATAGCTGGCTTCTTTATAACAATTGAATTGAAATGTGAGGAGTTGTCAAACTGCCCTGCTATCTAGAGAAAGATGCTCTCTTTCTCTTTTGAAGAGTCAAAAAAATAATAATTTTGAGTCTCCATGAGGTGTCAACACCTCAGGCGTTCAGATTTTTGAAAAAATCGCCACCTCTCTCATTTGATTTGCTTGGTAAACTGTAGCCACTTGTCTTCCTACTCAATATATACTTTGATGTATATCTCTGTGTTACTGTTAGTAGCAATTGTAACAGCTGTAAACTAGAGTAAACAGTTTAATATCTCACTTGATCTTTACACAAGAATAGAATATTGTAATCAATCTTGTTGCATTCCAGCATGTACATGAATGAGATATTTTCACAATGATATGCTTTTGTTTTTGTATTCCTTTGTTTTAGTATGGGCTCAAAAATGTTTTATATTGTTGGGCAAATGGTCCAAAGCATGCATCAGTGGTATATTGCTTCAAAAATTGTTTACTGAAATTTAGCAGTAGACAATACAAAAAAAATTTTAAACAAAATAATCACAGTCTCTTGGTTTTCAGAGTAACTGCTACATGTAGCTCTCCAGAATGAGAATGTTGTCCATTACAGTTAAACCCTAAGCGTTTTGATAAATTTCCTTTTTGACAGTTTTTGGTACCCATGTTTAATACTGGTTGTGGAGAGGCTCTCTGCAGATGAGGCAGTGGTCTAAAGTTTATTGCACCAGGGCCCTGGGCAAGAGGTTTTGACCTTAATGCAGAAACCAGTCTTTCATTTGTTTCCCGGAGATATATTATTTGGACTTACCCTTTTCATCTTTTGTTTCATCAGATTTTCATTTCAAAGTCTTACGATGCAACAACCCATTTTGAAACTGTCTGTGACGATATCATGGATATGTATGAGAGGATCACAGGAGAGAAGTTTGACCCTAGCTTAATATCTTTAGAGGGTGTTAAAGTTGAAAATTAATTTCTTACAATAATTTCATTATTGTATTGCAACAACTTTTGAGATGCCATTCCCAACCAAGTGATAATTATTTCATATTTTTTCAAATGGATATTGACAGTGAGGCTAATTTTAAGTGACTGCAATTAAATTCAAGTAAAGAAGGGTCTCAAAGGGTGATGGCTTTTATGGCTAACAGTTAAGAATATTTGGCAATCTTATGGATAACAGTAAATTTCTTTCTATTGAGAATAAAAGAACAATTTTGAGGGTTAACTTTTTTAATATTAATGGTTAAAATTTGTCAATATTTAGGCCTAACTGCTAAACTTTTTTTCGCCATTTTACAGCTTACAGTTAACCCCACTGAGACCCTTGCAAAGGATAGCAGTGAAAGCCTCTCACTCCCAAAATCTCATTTACAATTCTCCTCACTGTCTGCCATACAGTTCTTATGATGTTTCATATGAGAATTTGATATTAGATCAATTAAAAATCCCTTGATTGATATTTTTCATCTTTTCTGCTCTTCAAAATTGAATTTTCTTCTATTGCATTTATCTGTTCCTCTGTAACATTGAAAAAAAATGGAAGGCAGTCATTTAAAATTTAGCACCCTTGCTTTAAATCACTGTGCATAAAGTGATCGCAATGATATATGAGTCAATCCTAGACCAATCAAGGCATGTGCATCTCTGAAATATTCACTGGAACAAGTATTCTATAAATGATGCAATCTTTTGGGAACAGTAATCCAATCATGAACACTTTTGTTGTAAGTAGATCCAACATAACCTAGAGCCTACCGGTAACCATTTGACCACCGAGAGTGACCAACATCTAATTTTCTCCTTACAATATCACCCCAGAATCAAACATCAAGGTCATGAGAATAAAGAAAATGATCACTAACTTAAGAAGCTCTTGATCGTTAAACAATATCTCCTTGTCAGTGCCTTAGGAAATGTGCAGAGAACAGTATGGAGAATATGCATACTGATGTTGGGGGTCACCTCAGTATGATTTCTTAGTGGACATCCGTTGTCTCATAATCCTGTCATTGGAAATCTTTTTAATTTCAATCTTTTACTAGTTTACCACTCGTCAACTACGTAATCGTGTCACTGGCACTTGAGAGATTGTTGGGTTAGCAGTCTATAAAGAGCAATTACAATAAAGAAAATAGTTTATTTTATGTGAGATGTTATTTATTAGTATTAATTATAGGAGATATAGCCTCTGATCAGTCAGAGCAAACTGTGGCAGCTGCTTACATGTAAGTTTGTTCAGAAGGATCATGGTTTTATCAGTGCAACAGTTTAGGTTCCAAGAAACTGGTTCAAGTTTTTTCTCAGAAAATTATTTGTTGGCCAGAAGTTTAGTTGCAATTGTTAAAATACCTTAAAAAAAAGACTGAACCAATTTTAATTTTACCTGAACATTAGTTGCTTTCAGAGTGATAACTTGTACATGATGACATGGAAAAGACAAAAAAGTCCGGCTAATTGGCTTTTCCTTTCTTAGAAAATTTAGTTAGTTTAGTTTCCTTGTTTTTGTAATAATTTATTTAGAAGTAGCAACCCACGCATTTAAAGACTTAGAATAAAATTTATGTTTTAGTCAACTGCATAGTTCAACTTTAAAGATTGCAATGAAATGGTTCTTTCAGTCAAGGAAAAGATTAAAATTATTCTCAAAAATAAATTTGAAAGGAATAAGTCATACTTATTGTTATTTTATAAAATGGTAGTTGCCCTGTTCCTCACAAGTCATGGTTAAACTGTTTTCTTCTATGGGAAGTCGAAGATATGTTTATTTCTCAAATGTAGTATCCATTTAAAAAGGCCTTGTTTGAAGAGATTCATAGTGTATATCAAACTCTGGGGTAACATAAGTAGAACAAGAGTGCTAAGAATTCAACAATAAGAGTTGTTACTATTAATAATATCAGTATGAAGTAAGCACTGAAAATATTGTAGTTCACTTTTGGGTCCTTTTAACCCTCTGTAAAGTTGTCTTATAGGAATTTAATTATAAATGTGGTTGATTGCTAAAACTTTATGACAAATTGTAGGAAGTTGGGCCTCGCAAAGACATCTCCAGCTCTTTCTTCAAAATTTCTGTGAAAAACATAAAAAACAAGTACAACAACACCAGTGTTTTTTATTTAAGATGCCCTGAAATACTTGTTCTGCTGTTGAAATGATGTATGTGGTATAGCAGACATAGGAGACATATACACCTTCTTTTACTAATCAAGGATAAAACTGGTAGATCTCAACTGCCCTATGTTAGAAAAAGTTTTCATTTTATTTTTGAATATAATGAATATTTGGTTTTGTTGGTAGTAATTGTGGTGTTTTTGTGTATTTGTTGAGTTTATCTCACTGTGGGCAAGTCATTCGATCAAAAAATTAGAAAGGAAGTAATTTATGTAGGAATTAATAATAATAACTGGCGCATGTTTCTTTAAACAGAAGTCTTCCAAGGCTTTGTGTATCCAAACTGTGTATTTTTCAAGTCTACAGAGGAAACGACGTCAAATAAAAGATTGTATGCTTGTACCTCTAGTATTTCTACTTTCGTTGATGTTTCTTGCTTCAGAGGAAACGACGTCAAATAAAAGATTGTATGCTTGTACCTCTAGTATTTCTACTTTCGTTGATGTTTCTTGCTTCAGGCGCGTAATTTTCACATTTTTCCCATGTCCTCTCAAAATTACCTCGGTAACTTGAAAGAACGAGCTGTCTATTTGTTAAATAGCTCTGTTCAGATAAGCATCGCTTTAAGTCGTGGAAGGGATGGGTGGGAGAGGAAGACTATTCGCTCATGCATATACCTACGCCGAGTCAAATTTCCTAAATTTCTTCTCTGCGTTCCAAGCTTAGTGTCCAACGTGTTAGATTACCTTTCAGACGGGATTAACCTGGTCTTACTTAGGTCCCAATTAAGCGGGGGTAGCTTGCGATGTTTTTGACCACCTCTCTAAGCTTTTTATCATAATTTGCATAATCAGCTGCGTCGGTCATTGGGAAGCTTGTGCCAGTCATTTCCCCGACAACTTGAGGCTTTTCAGCATGTTTTACCGTTTATCTCAATTACTTGACACTCAATGACAGCTAAGGCCCAAGCAGAATGGTTATGGAGGGATACTGCATCTTTGGTTATCATGCAAATTGACTCATGCACATTCCAAAATACTTCAAATTTTCTAGATCAACTGAACGAAACTTCAGCGAAAAGGCTCAGTGTAAGCACCGTTTAGGCATCCATGTTTTATTGCCACTGGCAGAAGTCCTTTGAGTCGACGTCAGCAACCCCAGAATATTTTTTTCCACCACGTTTTCTTATGTACTTGCAGACCTTGTGAAAAATATTTTTCAGTAAAAAATTTACTACAAATTGGAGACCACCATGAGATTAAGGTTATCGGCACGTTAATTAAAAACGGAACAAATTCATACAATTTACTGTTTGATGATGAAATATCGATATTGATTACCATAATACAAGTCACTAACACACATTTACGAAATTAACAAACCGTATTACTTCCTCGAATGAGCGCCGAGGCGCTTATGTAAACTTTTGGCTAAAAGGAAGGGCACTTTTGGAAAGAAGGCGCTTTATCGAGGGGAGCGCTTAACTATTTCAACTGCGTTCTTAAAACACATTCTAATAACTTGATTATTGTTGGTAGAAACTACTGGTCCTTATTGCTCAAACATGGTCCAGTTGTTTATGGGAAGTTTGTGGCATTTGACAAGAGCGCGGCAATTGGACAAAAATTAAAAGAATATCAAGTACATGGAGATGGAGGTAAATGGAAGTGACTTAAAGCTACTCCCCAGTAATCGGATTCCGCTGTGGTGGGCGCTTATTCAGGGAAGGGCGCTTCTTAAAGCGTAGACGCTTGCTCAATGAAATACGGTGATTACATCTGGTAGCTTGGCTTCCTGGCCTCTTCCAGAAATAGCTAAAAACACAACACCAGGCTAATAGATAACTATTTCCGTTGATTCGTAATCGTTCGCAAAAATCTACACATGCACGTGACATTAAAAATACCTCTGCATATGCGTGCGACTCAGTAAAATATTCTTTCTCGTTCCCAGAGAACGAATGCCTTCAGGGACGAGAATGCAAAGAAGTTGCTTTCGCACATGGCCATGCATGTTTCTGCGTATTTAGCCTGCCACCTTCGCTAACCTTGTTCGCAGAGCGCTTTTCCTTTCTAAAGGGATAGGCCCTGTGAACGAGGTTGCACCTTCGTATGATTTAAAACCGTCAAATAAAATCACTTTTCGTGACCTGTCTAGAGTCATCTCACATTGATCAAAGTCGGCTAATCGAGTGACAGATCACAACTGTTAAATTTACTTTCATGGAATATGGTAAACTACTAATGTTTTGCGTCATTTTAAATATTTGCCGTCTGGCTTCGCTACCTTGAAACAAGCAGAAGATATTTTTCCTGTCTTAACCAACGGTTTTTTATCAACATTTTTTACGTGATATGGACAAATGAAGACGAAAAGTAATAAAAGGCTTAATTTTATCCTAACTCTACTGCAAAATCGCCTAGACAATTCAAGATGGTTTTAAAATGAATTAATGAATTAATGCCCATTTTTCAAGTTTGACAGCAGTAATTGTCACCTGCTTGAGACGCTCGCGAATTAATCTTCGCTGTTATTACGGTACCATAATTTATTCGAAGGTTTCATATATGTTTTGTCGGACGAGGAATGGAAAAGTCGTAATTACGTCGACAGTTTAGAAAAGATGAGGAGATAACTTTCCATGCAGAGATTTTTCTTGACAGAAAAGAACACTAGAGGCCTATTTATATTATATTATCTTTTGCATTTTTATCAGTACGATTTTTAACACAGTCGCGAGAGGGGTTTAGAAGCGCACAATTTAGCCCTCGAGTCTGAGTCAAAGGTTTGAAATGGTAAAAATTTGGCTTCAGACGCAAGTTCAGATTCCTTTCAAGCTTGTTCGTGGGTGTGTATTTTGTTACATGGGTTTCGTTCGTAGGTTAAATGAAAATGAATGGAATGTATGAAGGGCTTTATTCCAGTGAGAAAATTAAACCACGCAACAGCCTTCAACATGCTCATCTGTGATTCTATTATACACATGCAAAGCCGGAAGTTTTCATAAGCAGGTAGAGGGAATACAACTTTAAACATTTTAAACTTACGTCAGTAAAATAATACGATTGGAAAAACCTTGTCTAGACTGAAGTTTTGGCTTTCACGCGTGCAGATAACCAATTCCATGAGACGTTATAATTCAAGATAATTTGTTTAAAACCCAAATCACCACTTGATGGCACAGTGATGGCAGTTATAGATTATAGAAGATGTATGAAATTTCCATCAGACCGCCGTGATTGCATTTCTTGTCTATTCAATGATTTATCATTCCAAAGAGCTTCGTGGAAAGTCCCTTGGCATGCGCTTTGGCTTGCCAAGTGTGATTGATTTTGCACCATTTATCGCTTTAGGAAAAAAGAAAACATTTGCATACGACAAAAAATGGATAAACATAATTGCAACCAGCGAATCACAAAGAAACAAGAAAATTAAATACGGTGCAGAGGTTTCGAAGGGCTTTCACTTTTACAAGTGTCCAACGGCGAAAAATGTCTTGTAAAAATCTGGTTTTTGTAATTGTTCTCGCATTCCACATTTGCTTTCGTCTTCTTCCCGTGAAAGGAGGGCAAGTTTTGAAATTAGGTAAGCAAATGGAACGTATACTTATGAGTATAGTTTGCTACATTAAATCGTCTAAAGAGAAATATCTCAGTTAACCTGGTCAGTCGGCGGTTAACAACAAGCTTATATTTTTATTCTAGGTGCTGTTTTCCCCAAGAACAACACAGATCTTGACGAAAAGATTTTTAGGTTTGCAGTCGACTACGTAAATAAAAAAGGATGGCTCTCTAACATCACTCTTAACTACTCGATACGATATGCAGCTCCGGATAATTCGTTTGAGAATATTTATGAAGGTAAGTGAGAGAGAAAAAAATTTATAAAGGCTGATAGTTTCTAAAGAAACGTTTGGGGCTGCGTCGGTGGGAGTAACGAAATAATTTGGATATATCAACAAAGTTGAAATGGTAAATTGGCCACCGTAACGATTACAAAAGCTGACGTTTCGAGCGTAAGCCCTTCGTCGGAGCGAAATTTAGTCTGTTCAAGTACTGACTTCATAGATGACTCAAATTTTACAGACCCGATGTCTTCGTTCGACAAAAAGACTTTATGGGCTTACCTAAATTGCTATAAGTTTATTGATTTCTTGTTTCTCTAACGGTATTTCCAAGTTTTTAGAGCTAACCGTCAATTCACAGGAAATGACTGTAGTTTAATGTGTCGCTGCGAAACAATTCTTTTGCGCTCATTAAAACAGCGTGACATAGTACGACCTTATCTATAATGAATCGGGTGAAAAATTTATTTTGTTCTCCCACAGATGCGAAAATGTTTAATTAAAACTGATCAACATCCTCACTTTTAGAAACAAAATTAAATACTCACTTACCATAACAAAATGAAATGCTAATTTTATCATTGGGTGAAACAATCTCGTCTTTTGGGTGTTACTATCCACGAGAGACTTTCAGGGACCCACCACCTTACTAATGTAAAAAAGAATTTTGTAAACAAACTTTGCCTATTGAAAAGGAGTTCGTTCTTGAACAGAAACGCCCGATTGGACTTATACTTCAAGATAATACTACCATCAGTTCTACACGGACTAGTCGTCAGGGGCGGCTGCCCTAATGCAGAGCTTCTACATTCGCTAGAAGTACTTCTCCGTAGGGCGACCAGAATAATATACAACTTGCCCCGAGATATGCCTACTGAGGAAGTTTACCGACATTCGAACTGGAATACTTCAACCCTCTATTATAAACTTTGATTAATTAAACTACTCCGTAGCGTGTTTATAGGTGAAGCACCTACGGCTCTGTCATACTTAACAAACAAACCATGCACCACATACAATTTTCGAAGGAGTAATAATACAATTGTCCCGCGTTTTAACTCGCAGTTTCTTAAAAAATCCATCAGCTATAGAGGCGCTATACTCTGGAACGCTGTCTTGAAACATTTCGATTCACAGAGCAGTTTTCAGTTTTTTATCGCAAAGTGAAGAAGGACTCTAATTTGAAGGATCTCGATTTTAGCGCACAGTCCGGCCCAATCACTATCCAGGCACTACCAAGATTTTAAATTATTTTAACTATTTTTATGTTTTAAACGCTGTAGTCAATTTACTTGAGATAAATAATGTAAATCATTTTTATTATACTTATCATATTTTGTAGAGAGATTTTAAGGGACACTATTTTTATTGTTATTGTAATCATATTCACACGACCATACAAGCCCCCAGCTTTAAACCTCATCGTGTTTAAATAGAGGATATGATTGATTGATGGATTGATTGATTGATTGATTGATCATTCAATATTAAAAAACGTGTTTCAATTTAACTGTCAATTTTTTCCAATGTAGCTTTTGGCAATGGCACCTAGTTCAATCAGAATCTTCCCCATCTATCACGATGGTAAAATACAACTTATGACGACTGAAACATGTTTTTATAGAGAGTTAGTTAAAACTGATTTTTGGACGCCTGCGAATTATCACAGTTTGCTACAATGTTTAATTTTCTTACAATGTGTCTGCTGTTGTTTCTTTCCTTTTTTTAGCTTAAGTAATTTGTTTTCTTTCCTCCTGTATGAACGCAGTTACATAATAAATTACTTACTAGCTGTTTCGCGAAAGGCTTAACGCGATGTGCCATCGGGGGCCTATTAAAGCATTAAAGTTTAAGGATGAAACTTAATGCATTCCGAATAAAAAGCTCTTAGTTTTTTTCTTCCTAATGTCAGTGGATGATCTGATCATCCACACGGTTACCGAATAAGATCTTCCTGATTATTTCTCTAACTCAAAAGATATCTCCCTCAGGACGTAAAGACAGCAGAGTGACAATACTAGCCGTGACAATACTCTCTACTACGAGTGACAATACTCTCTACTGCGAGTGACAATACTCTCTACTGCGAGTGACAATACTCTCTACTGCGAGTGACAATACTCTCTACTGCGAGTGACAATACTCTCTACTGCGAGGATCGTGCATCATACGTAGAGTGACATTAACTCTCAAAAAAGAAACAACAACTTTGAGTTTAAATTTACAAGACATGTTCC